ACGCTTCCTTGCTTTAGTGTATAAAATGCCGAGAAGGCATCGAAGAATTTTGCCTGTTTGAAAGGGAAAGAACCTGCGGCCAGCCTTGGGATTCACAGAAAAAGCTCGGAAACGAAATTGGCTTCAACGTGCTTTGATTTCGATGAGAGCAGTCAATATGGTCACGAACGGCGATGATTTTTTTGGGCCAATTGGGGCATCCCGACCGGCTTGACCCTTGGATCTACATGACGCCAGCAATTTTCTCTTGCGGATGTCGGCTGTCAAATTTCCTTTCGCGTTTAGTTGGAAAGACACCCCGTTGAATGCCCACCAGTCCGCAACCCAATCGATCACACCGTGGACGTTGGCAGTGCTGTCAAGGGGCGAGGACAAATTGAGCAGTGGTCGCCTTTCCATTCGACAGGATGATGCCGACGCTGGGGTTGTACGGTCGGAAGCCCTATTCGTCCATACAGATAGCGGTTCCCGTGACAGTGTCGTTCTCTGTTTTGCGCAATTTCTCGGGTCTCTCCGCAACTAACGATGCTTCTGTTGCGCTCGAAGGCAATGAAAGGGTCAACTTCTGGGTGAGAGTTGCCCAGAGCTGCCACTCCATCAATTGATGCCACCTTTTGGACTCTTCCTCGAAGTTTGATTTTTCGTGTGCTCAAGGGAGTGGCCTTTTGCTCATCGTGTTGAGCTCGGAAGTGGAAGCGAATGCTCGCACCAATCGGACTGACGCGTTTCCCTGGATTTTGCGTACGTCATCTTGGTTGTTTGTATGTAGATCAGAAGTGTAAAGCACCGTCTGGAACTTGCCGCCACGGAAGCCAGGATGGATGTGCACTAGATCCTGGGGGCGTTCTAAAATGTGTCCTACCCAAGCACTCACCACACCTGACGCTGCCCTGCTGCAAAACCTTGCTGCCCCTCTTGCTTAGCACCTCTACCAGAGCTTCTGGTTTGCACTCCGAAACGAATGAACGGTAAACCAGGGCCGCAAGTCTCTTCGAGAGGACATTGCGGCGAAAACCTGTTGGTGCTGAAGGGTATAAAGTTCTACGGTGCCTTGGCTTTGACGAGGCCCTTGACGTTGCGAGAACGGTACCTTTAAATTCAAGCCGTCCGTCATGTTTTCGCACCTAATACCGTTTACTGTTCTCTATGCCTAGGCAGTTCGTGAGTTCTTCTGTAGGGCAACAAATGCCCGTAGTCATAGGGCACTAAATGGAGAAGCTTTTCTGTTTTCTTAAAGTGGAGAAGCTTCAGGGAGCTTATTTTCAGCACGCCTTTCTGCCGTCTTCTTGCGCGCTTTGGTCGCCCGGTCCATTACGGCCATCTGTCTTCCTGGAGGGCAATGATGTCATTGGCAGCTCGGAACGCACATCGAGTACCCGTTCTTCTTGCTCTGATGCCAGCCACCAACCTTTGCTTTCTCTACCTCAACGATCCGAAACAGGAGGTTATTAGAAGAGTATGCACCGTTGGCGTTCTCTCCCGCTTATTTCCATGTTGTGTCAGTGCTTTCCACGAACTTTGATGGCACAATTCCGAATCTTCGCCTTACTTTACACAACACCGAATAATTTCTTCTTGTTGAGGTCTGGAGGAAAGGCGGCGGCTGGACGGCGCTCCGGTCAAACACCCACACATTTTCGATCGATCTCTGCCCTGCTTTCTGTCGGGTTGTCGACATTGACACTCCTGATGCTTGGGCTGAGATGCTTCGCCTGTCGGGACTTCCCCAGTGGATATCTTCCCATCTGACGCCAAACATCAAGAGGTCAATCTCCTTCGTACCCATCAGAAACAGTGCCAAAAGCTTCGATGCACCTTCTTTGAGCAACCCGATATTTGAGTGCGCTCGTTTATGGCAATGACACTTTCGTATGACTGGGGTTTGCACCCCAGAGGGGTTCGTCCTGACTGAGCCGCCCAGCGAAGGTAATGCATCCTAAAATTATGCGGGAAACAAACTTCGTGAGAGGCGGAGTTCGCCTGCCTCATTTGCCTCTGCTGCGGTTGCGACAAAGTACTTCACAATTGTTGAGCAGCTTGAAACCTGGTTCGACGAACGCTGTACTCGAGTTGCATGGAGTCCTTTGGAACTGACCGCCGCAGGCTTCTTCGCTTCGCTCTCACTGCTAAAGGACGAAGCGTGCGAAGTCCTCGCTTGTGTTCTCGTTCTGGGCTGTAACAATACTTCCTCGTTCAGAGGGCCATGATGGACTTTCAAAGCTGGGTATTACATTCCAGTTCCGAGATCGAAGTCGGACGCCACCTAGAGCGGAGACTGAAAACGCTTGTGCTGCAATTCTCTGCCACGCTTCCGGTACAAATTTGTCAGGATGTGCGTTGCTCGTGGTTTGCATGAGAGAGGCGATGATTGGCTCCAAATTTTTGGGTGTTTTCAACCAAAGGTTCGGGTAGGCAGCTGACGCCATGCGACGATGTTTTTTTCCGAAAGACTCATCTCTAAGGGCAGAAGTGAGATAAGTAATATTAGGACGGAGTTATTCCTCTCGCCCCGCTTGAGCATCCTCTTTTGGACAATTGGCGGGCTTTGCGCGTAGGGGATCCTCGAGTCTTTAGCTAAAAAGAAGCAGTCTTTCAAGTCTCTTTGCTTTTTGCGATAAATTTGCAAGGAATGAAAACGCCATCCTGCAGTGTCGATCCGCCGCTGCAATGCAGCAATAGGTTTGGACCCCTCTGTAATGGTTCTCAGGGAGCCAGGATGGGCTTTGCATCTCTTAGATTTACCGTCAGACTTCTCTAAGCGAAGTGATTGCGCCAGCTGACGCTCCGTGATGAGCAGAAGTTATTGCTCTTCCGCTCTCAAAAGGACTTGTTTGGGTTTTCTCTTCTCGGGGTTCCTATTGTTCCCCGCCTTCTACACACCAATCTGACTTTTCTGCGAGTGGTCCCCAAATGCATGCGGCGTTCCTTTGGCCGTGGATGCTGTTGGGAGTAGCTTCAATCCAGCAAAGTGCTCAAGCTTCTCAGTTGACAGAACAATCTGATCCTTTTCGCAAGTGGCTATGACATGCATAGACATACTGGGGCCCTGCTCCCAGGGTGCATCCGCTCATATCTGACGCCTAAGCGGAAAGCTTCCTTTTACGCTCTACTTTGGTCACGTCTCTTGTTTTAAGCACGTGTAGCCACCGCTGCCGAGTCCGTGAAGTAGCCTTTTGGTTGCCACGTCAGATCTCCCACTCTGCTTCGGTCTGCTTTCTGACGCTGCCTTGTAAACGTTCAGTCCTTTCGTTGATCGATTGGGGGTCATTGGTTCTGGCAGTGACGACCTCAAAAAGCTGGGCAATAGATACCCACAGGCGTACATAAGATGCAAACTGATGCCAACGTGCAAGAACAAGAGCGGTTGGGTTGGCTCAGTGGATTTGTGGGTTACAGCCAAACCCGTAAAAAGTTAATGCGTGGTATGGTTGTCAAGTCTTCTTGCGACGACAATTTTTCCGGTCCTTCTGAAAATGGGCAATGACGGGCCTAGATCAACATGGGCATATCGTCCACCGCACCGTCTCTAGAAGCTCGTCAACCGCTGTGAAGCAGTTCCTGGCCCCTCCTTTGCTTGAGGATCAAGGCTGCCGACGTCTTACTCTTTCCTTACCTGGCCTCTGAGTCGTCGCCATCCGGATAAACACCCACTCTCTTGGCTGGCAAATCTTTCGGAACCAATTCAGGTCGTCAACGACCAAGAACTACGGTGGTCTCAAGCCAGCCCTCAAACCGCCCACGTGGCTCTCCAGCGCAAACTGTCGCTCCGGAACTTCTGGGCAAGGTCAACATACAGTTGATTGCACCCAGAGATAGCGGGCACACTGTCAGTCTCGCTTTCCGCGGTCTACGCCGACCCGTGATCTTTCCTGAGATGTAGGTGGAGCCTCCAGCCTTGGCAAGCATTCAAGATGCGCTTTACGCTGCTTGTTTGATGGCCCAGCCTCGTTTCGCAGTTCGTCGTGATTGGATTCAGCCATCGCGTCTCGTTGACTAGCAACCCCTGTATGCAAGCCTTCACGACTTTGGGGGTTTCGCGTCTCAACCGAGAGTGGAGTGGTTTGGAAGAAGGGCAACCCTGGTCCGCTTTCTTACAGCGATTTGCTGTCACGCAGCTATTGACTTCTTTCACTTGCATTCCTTTTTTGAATGTTTTGGGTCGGCCGGGATGTGCCTATAACGGATGGGAGTTCCGAAGCACAGTTCCTTAATGCACTGACGGCCGGGATGACATGGACGCTTTGCTGTTCTTTGATGCGGAGGGGCCGCTGGAGATGTTGGGCAAACCGCAAGTTCGTGTGCCCCATTGTTTCTGCTTCTAAGTCGTTAAACTTGCTCGTCGCTCGAATTCGTGAAGGTGGCACTGATGCAATTCTAGGATTGGGTGTGATCTCCCATACAGCCTCCGCTTCCTTGTGCTGACGCCAGCCCTCATGTCTCTTGGGTCCCGACTGGAGGACTAGCTTCATTTGAAAAGTATGCTTCCCAAAGAACGGTGCTGCAGAGCTCTGAAAGGCTCAGAAAACCTGCCCCGCATGTCAGGCGTTGGACAGGCACGCACGGAAACCTTGGTTCTGTGCGTGTATGGCAGTGAAGGGCCAATCAGTTGGGGTAGTCTACCTCAAGCGAAGTCCGTGATGTCTGATGCCAATGAGAAACTCATCCGGCTAACTCTCTTTCCTTCGTCGAAACCGACAACCGAAAACTACCTGAAACAAGCGCGGGCGTAAAATCTGCGTCGTAGACCCACACTTATCTGTGAGTCTGTTTTTATATTGTCAGGTAGCGACTGCACTTCTCCTTCGTCGTCAAATTGCCGCACCGAAAGAAAGGTGCTGGCTGTGACGTCACCATCACAATCAATGAGGCATGAGGTTTTGAAGTAGCCCTGGACGGTGGAGGCAGCGTCACAACGGGCGTGCGGGATTTCAGAACTTAGTTTTGAACGATCTGTCTTGCAGGTGGAAGCAACTTGATGCTGCTGAACGCACGCTGACGTCATGGCCTGCACGTGGGCTTCCTCGACGTGCGCTCCAGGGGGATCCCTTTGTACCTCGCCGCATGTGGGCGGGATCAAAAGCGGGCTTCGCAAGGGGGGTGACTTCAGGAGCTTCGAGAGTGCGGACCTGTCGACGGCTCACCACGTGACCGGAGGTTGGGACACGTGGCAACACGCCAACGGTCCAACGTGGCGCCGTCTCGACCAGGTCAGTCTGCGCCTCACGGACTCTCAGGATTCCTGTGGTTGCATGACGCAGAAACACGGAGTGCCCGGTGAAGGAGACTGCAAGGCGAGAAACGGTTAAGGTGTTCCTTATAAGAGCGACAGAATCTGCTTGAAGGGTTTACTTTTTCTTGAGCAGACTTGGAATTCCAGCGGCCCTTTTCTCCTCGCGCTGTGCTTCCTACACTTTCTGTTCTGCGGTTGCTGGTCGTCGAATACATCCACTTCTGTGCTGCAAAGGGGATCATTGCTGTGTTTCGATTGACTTTTTGAGAGGAGTTCTGTAATTGATTTAGTGACCCGAAAGGAGAAGCATTGACCCTGGTCTTCTTTTCGGTCGTGTTGTTTGGAAAGGCCTTCGGATCTTGACGGTTCACTTCCTTTTCTGGACCGCCTTTTTTCTTCGCGAAACTTGTCCGCGGCGCATGCTTTTGTTAAGACCTCGTCTAAATCAGTCTATCTCTGCTCTGCGAACTCCTGCCCTTGAGCGACACTCTTGGAAATGCTCCATCAGGCCAGTTTCGTTCAGAACGAAGCAAACTTGTCTCTTCTGACGATTTCCGGGGCACATGGTCCTCCTTTCATCTTTTCCCTGTCGGATACCGTTGCTGGAGCCTTCTTAGTATCCTGCTTCTATTGCTCGTGTCCAATGAACCCCTGTTCAGCACTTCGTCCTACAGCCAGAAGTTGAGTCCCAGATTTTGTACGCAACAGGATAAGAGCAATTCGCTGTCTCTCTTTGCCTGCAGGCGTCGAGACCCTGCGCTCTAACGATCGTCTGCGCCAAGAACAAGCCTCGCAAGCGGGGCCCCGGAACGGGGGGGTTCTACACGCCCAACCGGCGCCCCCTCGCGCCCCGCCCCCGACCCCCCAAAAAAGTGAAACCCCCGGAACTGGAGCGAGATTCTGACGCGCCCCCAGCAGCGCTAGACCTGACCAAGTTCAAATGGACCGCACGGAACGAGGGAGGGGGAGAAGAAGAAAAAGACGCGCTGCTGACTCCGCAGGATATTCTGAACCGGATGGACGAGTTCGGGATCGACTCGGTAGACGACGATACGTTTGTGCGCGTGATGGGGGGGAACGACTCCGGGGGGGATCCCTTTTGGGAGAACTACAACAAGGCGGCGGCCCCCAAATACGACGGAGAGTGGTCGCTGCGGAGAGCGCGCGAATTGAAGAAGCGCGAGCGAGTTGTGCGGCGGAAGGGGGGCGTGACGACGAAAGTTCCGGGTCCGGGGGAAGCGCCGTCGCGAGGGGGGGTACGAAAACCGCGGGAAACAGTAGACGGGGCACTTGTGAGAGTGGCAGAAAGTGACGGACCGGGGGGGGGAGAAGAGGACTCGGGGTCTGAGTCGGAGTGGGGGGTTGGAGATGAGACCTTTGCGGCAATTCAGCGGGAATTTGGGGCGGACCTCGACGAGATGCAGGGTTATGATACGGACTCTGACGGCGGCGATTCGGAAAGTGGGGGTACGGAAACCGTGGAAGAAGAGGGGGAGAGAGCGGAGGCAGAGTGGGATGAGATACAAAACCCGGATGACGTGGACCTGAGCGGATACGCGGAGGGGGTGTTGAAAAGTCAGGAACACAGAGAGCGGCAGAAACTAGAGGCGGAAGAAAAGAAGCGCGCGCAGACTCCACCGGACATGCGGCGGATACTAGCCATGCCGGAAGCCGCGCCGCCGGACCCGGCCGCGTGGGAGTTTGCGGACGAGAACGGTTACCTAACCCAGGATTCGGACGAGCATGAGGACATAGAGTACGACTCGCAAGTCGGGTTTTCGGTCGAGTGGTTCCATAACAAACTCGGTTACAACGACGTGTTTAAGAGCGCGTTTCCGGAGGAGCAGCAAAGCCTGGCGCGGGAGGTGTTGGCGCAGCATTTGAAGGGGTTTCGGAAGATGGAACCGGGGTTAGCGGATTTTGTTGCGACGCGGTGTAGTGGGTTTCTGGACCACGAGATGCTGACGAAGCCGCCGAAGGGATCCCCCGCCGAGGGCGAGCCGGACTTGGTCAAGCGGATGGAGCTGCGGTTAAGGGCGTTAACCAAGTTCGACTTTCTCTGGGCGTACTTTGAGGCGTTGGGTTTAGACCAGGAACGGACGAAACTGGGCGTCATGTTTCAACCGGTTACTATGACGGTGCCTCTAGCGCACCGGGCAATCACATACCTGCGCGAGGGGTTAGGGTTTAAAGACAAGGAAATCCACGCGGTTATCGTTGACAGCCCGCATTTGCTGCGGTGGCAACCAGACGCGTATCGGAAGCGGCGGGAGTTCTTCGCGTTTGTGGGGTGGGACGAGAAAAAGCTCATCCAACAAGATCCGGCGGCCTATTCGAAAGATGTTGAGAACCAGTTGAAGCCGATGTACGAGTTGCTGGAGAGACGGGGCGTGAAGGACGTGAAGCGGTCATGGAAAGAGGCGCCGATCATCTTCGGGAAGAACACGTTGCAAAGTATGGAAACGAAGCTTGAGCTCTTGCTTGCGGAAGGCTTCACGCCGGACGACGTCAACTCCTTTGTCGTGACAGAGCCGGACTCGCTCGCGCTAAACATAGAGAAAACGCTGCCGCCCCTTGTTAAGATCCTGAAAAAGTGGGGCTTCACGGAGCGCCAGCGAGTCGACGTTCTGGCGGGGTGGCCGGAAGTCTTTGAGCAGCGACGAATTTTCTTCAACGATAGGCTCAAATTTTTGATCGAGGAGAATGGAAGGACCCCGGCGGAGATTGCCACGTGGCCGCAGGTTATGTGGTACGACGTGGTGGGTCGGTTGGAACCCTGCTTTAACCTAGCGATGCGGTACGGGTACTTGGATAAAGATCTAGAGTACATTTTGCAGCCGCCTGAGGAAGTGTTCTCGTCGCAGCGGCACTTGCACCCGTGGCTGGGTGACCCGAAAGAGATCGTTGACGATGTCGTCAAAAACGGGTTGATGGTTTGAGGTTGACGTATCCGCACGCTGAAAAGTTCATGAGTTGCCTACTAGGCTAAGCGGTCGGACTGTGAGAACTCGGATGTGAGACCTTGTAGACCTAGCGCAACTTGGACTCAAAAGATCAATCAACATGGATCATTGATCACCGTCAAATATTCCGTCAGTTGGATCGATCAGCTTAGGCTATGAACCTTCACATGCTGTATAATGCATGAATGTAGTGGTATATATGGTAGTTTGTTCGTTTCAAATCTGGCGGCATGCGATCGGACTCAGAACACCTGCATCATTGGACTCTCATCTTCTCAAATATGGATAGGGAACATATAATGATCTAATTTTTTTTCTCACAACATGCCGCGACGAGATGTACCTTTTATGCGACATCATGGCATGGTCAAAATGTGCAAATGTCCGGTCACAGAGCTAACGGTCACTAACTCCCGCCGCGGCGAAACGCGTGCCGCCTCCTCTACGTCCGCTCGGAGTATATCCTGCTGCTGCATTAATGCCATCGAATTGTGTGTTGGTGAATACAGAGTTAAACGTGATGCATAATAAAGACAGTCGGAGACCAACGTTGGCAAATGATAAGTTCCGGAGTGATATTCTGGCAGGCCATGGGGCGGCTAGCTAACTCAGTCTTGATTGGATTCACAAATCCATGCCACGAATTTTTGAATCGATCCAAATGATGATGCAAGGCTAACGGTCACATGGTGAGCGCAGCCTGCTAGCGCCGCGCCCAGCCGGTCGCTGATGAGTTCCTTGCGAGTTGATCCGGTGTCAGTGAATAAGTTTCAAGCTAGTTTTCTTTAGTGCACTTAACTTACGTACATCATTATAGAAGTACATTATCGCGTGCGCAGGGGCCGAGCCTGGCACCGTCTAGCTTTTGCAGTGACCATCATCTGCAGGCATGCCATCTTTGACATAGCGCTAGCTTGCAGCGCGGTGCACACCGTCATGTATGTTGTTCATGATCAACTTTGTACGACGGTTGGACTCTCAGCAACTGACCAATTCAATGTGTGCGATCGACATATTCAAAGGCGGCTGCGTGGCGATCAGTGCACTGACTCAGTCGGAGCATGTCCGAACTTACCATACGGTTCGGTTCGTTTTAACGAACTGGCGGGGGGGACCCGGCCAGCACAGATGTTATCTCACTGACCGACATGCCATGATGAGCTGACTGTCTGCTACACCGTTCATTCGAACGATCATATAATGCTGTGACAGTGTGCGCTAATGGAGTGCAATTGAGTGCTGTAACGGTGCAATCTAGTTTTTTACAACCATCTCGAACACCTCGACTCCCTTCCTTGCTTCGCCAACAGGAGGGTGAGAATAGACGAGCCGAACGTCAAAGTACTTGCTAGCTTTCCGAAAGAACTTTGCGTCCTTTTTCCAGCGTCTCAAGTGCGCAATCAAGACAATTTGCTTCTTGCTTACCGGATTCAAAGCTCTAGCTGGTGGGCCTGCAGACGGTTTCCGTTCCGACGCTTTCTCGACAGTGCTATCTCCGCACCCTTCATGACTGGGAAAGTGAGGACTACTACTACCGGCTCTAGGCGTTTCCTCAACCCCTGGCTCAGTCAGCCACCGCAGGCTTTGCAACAACGGTTCAAAGAGCGTGTCGTAGTAAATCACATCCGAAGCCAGAACGAGATCGAACCCTCCTGTCCGTTTGACTAACGCATCCACGTCCTCTCTTACGCCCCAAGAAAGCGGTTCTACACTGACGCTGCCAGCTGACTTCGAACTGATCCGGTGCATGCTCCGAGAAGTTTTGCCCTGATCATTTGCTAAATGACATCCTGCTTCATACTCTGCTTCATGGCCCAAAGCGTCTATTCCCGAGACACCTTTCTCCTTACCCAATATTGGCTGGGTTTCTGTTTCCGTCTCGCATGTCAGCCCAATCCTTGAACCAGCCAGGGTACACATCTGCACCAATCCTTCATCGTCCGTTTCTGTTTGACTGAACCTTACTGTTGCTTTTGCAGATGGGATGGAGTTCCCCGTTTCTGTCGCTGAGATTCGATTCATCCCGTCTTCCTCCAAGACCACATGGTTGCCATTGACCGCTGGGTTATCGGCAATCAAGGGGTTTCCTTTAACCCCTTGAGCCCTCCCCTGGTTCAGCGCCACGTTCGCCCTCAGGTTCTCGAGCACGCCAGGAAGGTCCGTCAGGATGACATCAGCGCCAAGCTGAGCGGCGAAGATCCCGACAAGGCCTGTGCCAGCGCCTAGTTCCAGCACCCTCAGACCCTGGAGGCGGCCGCTTATGGTACCATAAGCGGTCTCCAGGTAGTGGCATAGGGCCTCGGCGGCAGGCCAAAGCTGGAAGGAGAGGCCCCTGCAGATACAGGGGAGCGCGTATGGAGTTCAGGGTGAAATAAGACATTGCAGGGGTTTTGGGGGGAGCACTTATGGACCGAAGCAAGAGGAAGAGGCACAGGATCTGTGGGAGCGCTTATGAAGTGAACTATGAGCATATGGCAGGGGGTCTGGGGAAGCCCTTATGGACTGACGAATGAGAACACGGCAGGGGGCCTTCGCGGCAGACGACAGCTAGGAGGAGAGGCTACTGCAGAAGAGAGCTTGCATGGTTGAGGAAGAGCTTATGGATGTTTTGCCACATAAAGTGCTTCAAAGAGCTTCCAGACGCATTCGGCGGCGAGGTTAGGAGAGGCACCCGCAGGGGTTGGATTACGGAACATAAGTTTGGGGGCAGTGGTTTAAGGAGGAAAGGGCTGGAGCTGTTTGCATACATAAAGACAGAAGCAGAGCTTCTGAAGAAGGTCGCTTTTGTTGGTGACTTCAGCGAGTACAATCCTGAGAACTTCAAAGAACAGCTTTGATCTGTGATCGGTGGGGTGTACAGTTAAAGTGGGATGTGGGGTTAGAGTAGGGGCGCAAAGGCCAGACACCAGGCAAAAAGGAGTGTGGCGAATGAAGAGTTGGACAAATCAACAGCGTACAAATGACAGAAATATTTGGAAGTGCGATTGACTTTGTTACGAAGGGGTCATGGAATCTCCACTCTGTGATTAGGAGAATAACAAGCAAGTCTATTTTAGGGACAGCAATCAACAAAACTCAAAGATGAGGAAAACATAATGCAGCTTCTTCATTAAATGTCAAAACCCGTTGTACAAAGGCATTAAGGCACTTAAAATTTGAGCACCCTTGTTGATTGACGGTGCCACCATGTAGAACTCCTCCATCAAGAACATCATAGGATGTACTGTCCAGTCTTGGCCCATTATCCACCATCTTATTGCGGAAAGTCAACTCTTCTGCGAGGGTGACTGATGGTCCCAACTTTTTCATTCCTAGTTCCTTATCAACTCTGCCCTGCAATTTTAGTTGACCATTGTACTTGTCCTTGACACATCAATCTGTACATTCATTGCTCATGATGCAGTTCAATTCGCTCAAGTGGCCGTATCAACCACTTTGTCAGCCTGATGTCCGTCTTCTTCATTGAATCGTGCGATTGGAGTAAAACTTCCTTTAGCTCACCTCGAAGGCACTGCTTGCACAAGCACAGGCCTGTTGTCCTCCAAACCAAACGGCTGGTAGCCCTCCACTATCACCGCAGCTTTGTTCGACGGAATCCCCTCTCCCAAAGCCAGATCTCCTTCAACTTCTCCATCCTGGTAGGTTTTCATTGCATCGCTCCCACTCTCTGTCTGCAAAGCGTCTCCACCGAAGTCACATTTGTAATCTGATTCAGCAGGATCTCTTGGCGCCTCCCACTCCCAACCATTCCGCTCTCTGTCCTCTTCGCTGTCATAGTCCACAGGAGTAGGCATCAGGTAGCCTTCTGACGCACCACCCTCATCAGATGGCCCCATTGCCTTCGAGAGCTCCTCCTCAATGCGCTCTAGCTGACTCTGAGTCTGAGCATCGCGTCTAGAACTGTCCAGCAAACTCCAGCTAGTCTAGGCGTTCTGCATTTTATGGGAAATGTTGCGATAACATATTCCAAGCTTTCATGAACACATACAGGTCCGTGTGAACCTATACGCTCATGAGGTTGACTAATATGTAGGTAATATTCAGACTATTAACGAATAGGCTAGAGTGCGATAATAGTGTTGAATAGTTCGATAAGACTTTTTCGATAATAATAAACCTAGCTGCAGACTAGGAAATTCGACTATAAAACCCTTGCAGCGAGTTGCGTAGCTCTCATTTCCAACTCGCCGCTAGAAATTCAAGCAGAAGTTCACTTTGCCCACCCACCCTCTACCTGAACAGAGACATATATAGGGTAGGCTCGTCCGTAGAGTTAATTTCAGGGGGTGATGAAGACCTTGTAACATCACCCCCCTCTACAGATTAAATAAAAGGCGGACTCTGCCTATTGCCCTCAAGTCGTTTGAAATATTCACCAGACAAAGGAAGCTCAGCTCAATGGCAGGAATACCGTAGTCCAACGTGATCATTCCGAACGGATTTTCCAAGTAATAATTTCCAACAATCCGACCAGGAATGCGGAATTACTTATGCGGATTCCGACCAGAATCCGAATGCCCTATGTTCATACTTGAAGACGCATTTTAGGGCTGATTTGAGCAGTTTTTGGCCTTCCGAAGCCTATTTCAGAATAATTTGATCTTTCCGAATCCCTAATAGTCCACTTTCCAAACGGGAAACCTGAATTTCTGACTTTGCGAATGCAAATAATTATTTATTCATTCGGAATCATTACCTTGGACTACGGTACGTGCTTCTCGTCCGTATATATAAGCACGTACTGGTTTGATAACGGACTAGTTTGACTCGAGATTACAAACGACATGTAGTATAGCTTCAGGCATACGACATGATGCGTTCTCAAAAATATGTGCTCGAATAGAACCTCAAAATTAGGGTTCCAACCACAGCAACTTCCAAGCCTGTGCCAAGCCCTCGATATTTCTGAGGAGAAACTTTCACTTGGAAACTGCAAGGACATGGACGCGTCCATGTCGTGAGATGGCCTCTCCCTCTCACAATCTCAAGAACGTTCTAGCTGTCTGCTGTGGAGTTTCTCTTGTTGCCATCTTTGTTTTCCTGCAAAGGCGCCAAAAGCCAGAACGACCGAAGCCACGCAGAAGAATGGAACAGGAAAAGATTGTGCGCCGCATAATCGCAGCGGACAATAGCTGCCTCTTCAATGCTGTCGGGTAAGTGAATTTGAAAGTGGCCAAAATAAGAGGAACTCGATTGTGGGAGGTAAAGTGATGCAGGGGCTATGGTTATTGAACTTAGAAGGTGCTGCGCTTATGAGCTGGTATGGGTGGGCTGCAGATACCAAGAAACAAGAAAACGGAGAAGAAGTTGCTCGACCAAACCCTGAACTACTCTTGAAAGTACATGCTCATGCAGGCTACACCACATAACCCATCTGTAACTTGTAAAACTTCTATAACTTGTTTTCGGGAAGTGGTTTTGGGGTCCCATCTTCACCCCTCTTCAGAAAAAGCGAACGGTAAAGTGTTGCTAGTAAAGTCATGTTATGGAGCAGCCATCTGTCTTGGTTTGGTTTGGTTTGGATGTCGGTCTGTGACGGAGGCTGAGAGCTTGAAAAGGTGTTCGTCAGGTTTGATGGAACGTTTGTAGGTGTCAAAGGCTTTCGCGTGTGCAGCTTCATTTGTGATAAAAATCTTCAGATGTGTCTTCCAGAAAGCCCCCCAGTGGAATATACTCAAAGTCGCGTTGGTTTGTGCTGGGGATGTTCCTTTGCATACTGCGCATCACAGTGCTTTCTTTTAAAAGTATTTGGGTTCTTTTGGCTGCAATTTATGGCGTCCACAAAATACATTGTCGTTGGTGCCACACCGCTACTATCAACAGCCAGGGCTGTCAGTCCTGAACTTGTTGAGTCTGCGGGCATTTGAACGCCATTTCTTATGCCCTGATAACAAGTGCCTATCACTGGTAATATCTTCCGTTATAAGCTGGCCTAGTGAACGAGGGGGATATTCTGATTCCTGGAGAAAAGGAGTTTGCCAGTCGAAAGATGCTCTTTACCGCTCACGAATCGCCAGCTGAGAAAAGTCTCTCACTGCTTGGTGGAGATGGTCCAGAGGATTGCCGCAGTAACGGTGCTCTCATAGGGTCAGTTTTGAGAACAATAACTCCAGGCACTTGCAGGGAGCTCTATGGTTCAAGAACAAGGGTCACAGTGCCGTCCGACTTCAAACAATTTCAAGGGCGTGATGCCCTGGAGCTGAGGAGTTATAAAATAGAGAAACCTGAAGCATTTCCTTTTTCCACGAAGTGATGGACCATGACCTTGGAAAGTTGCAGGACTGCGGAGGGCAAGCGCAACAAGGTTGGTTCATTGAAGAGCGTTACGGAAAAAGGTCCTGAAGTGAGAAAACCCAGGGAATCGAACTCGATAACTGGATTTTTACTGTGAGTGCTTTTCCCCCAGGTATGTAATGGACCATGACCTTGGCAAGTCGCAGGAGCTTCGGCGGGTCATCGCAAACAAAGTGCGGTCCGATCCCGAACAGTACGATGAAGCAGTGCTTGAGAAGAGCAACGAGGATTACTGCCGTTGGATCTTAGACCGGCAAAAGTGGGGGGGCGCAATTGAGCTATCGGTTCTGGCGGACCATTACGGAAGAGAGATTGCGGCTTACGATATACAGACGAAACGGTGCGACATATATGGGCAGGTGGGTCGCTTGATATATTCCTCGAAGCTGCTGCACATTTCTGGACAAAAATTTTCTGCGCCTATTTCGAGATGGAACATCTTTGAATACACATGCGAAGCAGTTCCTGTGTTGCTCCTGATATAGCAACCTGTTTTCCAGTGTGAAAGCCATCACCTTTGCAACAATCTGCTAGCTGGCACTAGAGGCGAGTAGGCAGAAGGCTAAGCAAGTAAGTAAAAAGGTGCTCGGAGTGTGAATAAACGTAACGCTCAGGAAGCTCGGTAGTTTCGGCCATCTCTTCTGGGTCATCGTTGATTCAGCCACTGCAAGATCAAGCCTTGATCTCGTGTCAGTCCTAACTTTGATTCGGCAGACTTGGAAGTTCTGTGGCGCTATCAAGGTCGCTTTTCGCCCAAAGGGGCCAAGAAATGAATGGCGATACGACACGATCGCTAAATTGAGCAGCTCGAGGTTCCAGAAAGCTTGAGGTAAATCTTTCAGATCTGCCGGCCCAGCGACGGAGATCGTTAGAAAAGGGCAGCGAACTCTGAATATTTTTGAGACGTGTAGGCCGGTTATTTGCTGAAACGGCAGCTTGCTCTGTTTGTGGGCGGAGCGCCAGACTCTATCTTGATCCTTTTCCCGCTAGGAACGGGCACAGTTCAGGCTATGTTTAGGTCCTTGATATTTTATGCTCTCCGTTGGAAAGTGCTTTCCTTAGGTGCGGCAATATTTATCCTGCAGGGGGAAGGCTATAAAGAGCGAGCCATGCTCATATACGACGGGCTTCACTACGATGCGCTGGCGCTCGAGATGTTTCCGGGGGCGCCAAAGGACTTCGACGTCACGATATTCACGGTAGACGAAACCGGGGGGGTAGGATACGTCACGCAATTAGCAGGTAAATGCGACCCCTTCTCGGCTCTAATCCCTCGACCATCTTGCTTATCTGCTTTTCTTCTTTCTTCCTAGTTCTCTGTCGACCCCGCGTGCTTGTCATCCGGCTCCTGATTCTTTGCAGTCAGCCGAATTCGCGTGTCAGAAGAATCCATCCGCAGTCCGTATCTCACCCCATATCGAAGCATGAAAGGGCTTCCGGGGATGAGGATTGTACTCTGCCATATGTAAGTTAAGGTTGGAGACGCCTCGCCCACAAAATACCTTTGAAGACGGTAAACTTCAAATTTAGGACGGCAAATTCTCGGGGTCTGCAATCTGAACCGTAGGTAGTTTAGTCAGCAGAGCAAGAGTGGAGGTTGAATCGTTCGTCCAAACTGTCCGCGAAGTCAGCAGAGCAAGAGTGGAGCTTACATTTAACGTTCCGTCCAATGCTTGCCGTGATTCTGAATAGGCGAATCTTTGGACGCAACGTCTTAATAAGGGGGAAGACCGTTTGTCGGGAGGTCACAAACGGGAGGTCTGACCATTTGGGCTTCGCATGTGTGCAGAAAAGTTGGTCGATGAGCAACATCGAGCCAAGAAGTTCACAGATACTCAGAACTTCACGCTGCGGTGTCAAAGCTGCCAACAAGGTTTGAAAGGTCAGAAAGAAGCGGTAGAGCACGCAAGGTCTACGGGTCACACAAACTTCGCAGAGTATAGTTGACATTGACGCCCACCAGTCTTGTCTCCCTTGAAGCAATCTTCCAAGGGATAGCATGAAGTGGCACAACGACTGCTTACTGCGCTGGCGTCAAATGAGCCGCTTAAGTCAACGACGTTCGTTTCACAAGTTGCGACATCTCGCTTCTATGTGTAGTATGATGTCCAGACGAAGCAGCGGTTCAGCCATGATACAGTCTCCTATAAAGCACCGGGCGCTGGCTAGATCGAGTCTGCAATCGAAGCACTTAGAATCAGTGGCACTTGCATGGCCCGAGTCACTGGCGGCCAAACAAGTTTTGCATAGTCAGGGTGGGTGGTGCGCAGCGCCGTCGCTTATCGTGTACTATGTATTGATTTCACGCTTGTTGGACCGACTTGAATTTCGACCGTACTTCTGTTGTTCCCCAATGCACTAGGCAAACGTCTTTGCAAAGAAATCAGTAAACGCAATGATGCTTTCGAAATCAAAGGCGCTGCCACTATAATGGCCGTTCACATCACATTCTAGATTCCACATAGTTTGATCGATCGTGCATCGCTGACTCAACTGAGGAGTCTCCGACGGTCTAGCTGGTGCATTGCAATGCGATTTGTTATGGCCGGATCACTGGATTAAGCAAAGGTCATGATGCAGTTTTAAGGCCATGCCTGCATGCATGTTGCCAACATACCGCTTAAGTTATCGGAAAATTGTAGAAGCGAGACTCACGGTCCGATCGAGTCCGGCTCTGCATAGGCGCACCTAGCTGACGTGATGGGCTACAATTACATGAATCGGAGGCCGCATGTCTCGCAGCAATAGCTCCTGGGAGGGCGGGTATGGAGAATAGCTAGGATCCAGAACTTCATCTCAGGTTCCCGATCTCAGGACATTCCGGATCTCAGGAAGCTAGCGTAGGGGGTTAAAATGTGCCGGTAATGTATCCCCTAGCTTGCCCCATCTGTGCGTTTGCCAACTGTCCGGGGTGCCTGGTAGAAGTGACTTAGTCAATCGGAGCCGTCCGATGTATCGCTCAGGGCTCAGATCGAGTGCATTACGCTGGTACACGTGGCCTTGCGATCCTGAGATCAGGAAGCCTCAGATCAGGAATTTTGGATCCTGTTCTCCATACCCGCCCTCCCTGGTCAGGTTGTACCGGTCTGCCGGCTTCCCCCGGGTCGGTGCAGACCGGCCCCCGGGCGAAAATTGCGGTACTTTGAAGTTTGCCCCAGGCCGCAGGCGGCCAGGCCCGCGGGGGCCGGCCGGCAATTTGCAACCGGCTCCTTCATGAAGTACAAACACAGCGCCTCCGGGCCGCTGCCAACGTTGGATTCGGTTGGTCGGAACAAGCAACCGGTTACCAGATCCACCGGGTTCGCGACGTCGATCATACAGCTCACTGAAAGCGGCTGAATCTGAGCCGTTGATAGATTCAAGCGCGCGCGTCATGTGCGTGAACTTACAGTCGTGGCCTATGCCCGATGGTAATAATCATACCCTAAGCATACCTACTGTGACTTGTACCTATGTTTCAGTTGGTCATGCAATCACTGCAACGCAAGCAGCTGCACTGGCCGTGGCTGTAGAAACGTATCGACATCTGATCTGGAAGGAATCTGGATGCTAATCTGGATGGGTTGGAGGCTTTTGACACTCGGACTTGCGTAACTGGAACTGCCCCTTACTTACAGAAGTCTCAAGTTACGGTATACCGTACGTATGTATGTATGTTTCAGACCAAAAAGGTGCAAAAAGCTTGCCAGATTCTTCCCGAGCTTTGAGCCAATCGAATGGCCCAATGTATCCACGTGGTCAAAAAGGTACACACCACATCAGCACTAGTGCGGCCTGAAAAGGTACCGTACTATCCTACATGGCGGTACTATAAAGGCAACACTGGAGGCAAAGTAGGATTCTGGTCGACGCGCACCTTAACCCAAGAGAGTTGTGCCAGTGTCAAGGGTCGGGTGTCTCAGCGTGCAGGCGTGTACGTCACATGGGCAGCTCCCGGCAGGCGGCTGAGTTGATTCAGTCTTCTCAGTCTGGTGGGCTGACAAAATTTCACTCAAAAAGAATGGAGAAATCAGATAGATGGCATATCTTTCCCCAGCAGCTGCTGACCATATTTGTGGGGCCACTGGCATTGAATTATGAGGGCCGTGCGGCAAGCTGGATGCGAAACAAAAACAGCAGAGAAGACGTCACAAGGTGTCATCAATCTTCTAAAACCTTGTTCAGCTAGCTGTTTGTCAAAATGGTGACGGGTTGAGAGCACGATCATTGTATTCGGCCCTCTGGCAAGGATAAATTGCCCTGTCGGCGGCAGACTGAGAAGGTGACCTCTAGAAAATCGCATCTAGGTAGCAAAGAGGATTTGGAGGAACACAGGCGTGGCCGCTGGGGGAAAGCAAGCCACAGAGCGAATTGAGAGGACCCGGTGCTAACAGAAGAATCTTGTGCTCAGGGTCTGCTAATCTGAAATGCAGATGTAACGCCAAAGGTCTCTCCTGTTGGGGCTGCTTGAGAAAGGCAGTAGGGTTGCATTGCGGGGGCGATCAGCAATGGATTCCGAAGGTAAGCGCGGCTTTCATCCAGGACGCTGGGGGGCAAAAAGCACCAGCATTGATTGAGGAAAGCAACCAGAGATCAACTGATCTGGATATGAGATTTTGCTGAATGAGACTTTGACAAGAAGTCATCAGAGAGTCTCTTGCCAAGCTTGGTTCACAATAAGATAGGTAGTGATCAGCGCCAGATCCTCCAAAGAAGATGTGAACAATTCTGAAGGAGTCCAGATTTGTATTGATTCTGGGGTTGCTCCTTGGCAGTAGGAGAAGCTATCATTGGTATCCTTGATAGGCTGAATATCTGCACAGTGCACTCTCAGGTGTCTGCAAGGTCCAATCAAGAAGAACAGGTTGCTCAACAGAAGAGTTGCTCATCATCACGTTGATTATGCCAGGGTTATTCGCTCGATGGAGAAGTATGCTCGAAGGCCTAAAGGCATGTTTGGTCATTGCCAAGGTTTTACTGACATATGCGGCAACCCTCCCCTCTCCAGTTACAAAGGGTTCTAGCTTCACTGTTGCTCAGCATATCTTGAGATGACAAGGGTTCTGTAAAGCTGAACGTGTTGTTCAAATGGAAGCTGAAGTTGGATTAGACCCTATATATTGATTTTCAGCAGCAGAATGTGGACACCCGCAATGGCAGAAATAGTCTGCTGACAAACCACGTAGCTGTGTTGAACCAAAGCCAGCAACCGGTCACGTATGCAGATGCAATCCTGGCTGCCCTAGAGGACCGGCTCATCAACACCACCGAAGCTCATGTCAAGCTTGTGAGGTCGATTGTGAAGGTAGGCATGTCAAATCCAGGGGACCCCTGTGTTTCCATGCTACCCTTAGAGCATGCGAAGGCTTGATTGCAAGCTATAGTGCTCATGGTTGCATCGAAAAGGAAACTCTGTATGTTTGAGCTCCAGACCTGGGTAGCTGCCTTTTGCACAAGGGCCTGTTCGGATTCTTCTCACATCATTCTGCAGAACGCACAACGATGCTCACGCTCCTGAAATCGATGAATGGGAAGCTCTTGAATTGAGATATTTATGAGGAAAGCAAGATTGGGTCTGGACGTAAAAAAAGGCTGGGACTCGGACAGGACTTTGCCTGCAAGGAGGCTGGCAGCATTGGACTGAAAGTTGAATCGTCTCTGAACAGGCTGGCATGCAGGGCCATGAGTCCTGGTCTGCGCCACAGATTAGAGAGGTGGAGGCAGCATTGACGCAGTTCCACAGCCAACAGGTGAGCTCGCGATCCTTGCAGTTGCAGCTGTCTGACATACATATGTCATGCTTCAAGTTTTGTGTCAACACGTTAAAATCAAGGGAGTTTCTATAGATAACAAGCAGCAAGCTCAGTATCTCAGTGAGCTGATGCTCGGTCACCAGCTCAACAGATGACTTCTTAGGCTTCTTGCGCATCTGCACAGACGCAAGTTAGTCAATGGGGCTCTACTTGAATATACCTCATGAAATAAGCGACCTGACAAGGAATAAGATACCTGGACGGCATATGAATGTTTCCAGGGTTGCAAATAGGGCGTCTGATACATGCTGTGCAATACGATGATCAGCGCTTTCTGATGCTCGAATAGACTGTCGACAAAAAGCAAGACATGACAAAGACCAGTTTAGCGGATCCTGAGAGGTCTCAAGGGTAGTGCCTCTCAAAAACACGTGGAACAGAACGAGGCAGATTGCTTAGGAGCCACACTTTTCATGAGTCAACAGACAAGAAGGCAGTGTCTTCGGAAGAACAAGCTCGAAGCCAGATATCGGACGAGCTTTCGTAAAGGCGTCCGACTCTTCAATCTCAAAGCAGCACTAGGCCATGGGTCAACGAGCTTGGGGTTTTCTTAATTAAGCCACGCTCGTTGTAAAGCGGAAGCCTATGACAGTCTTTCCAACAAAAGGTTACAGTGGGAGTTTTGCTGTTGCTGAAAAGCGTATTGGTGCAAGAATTTGAAGCGTCTGCTCTCTGTGAGGGCTGAAAAGCGTCGGCAGTTTTGGCCGTATCTAAAGACCATGGCCATTTCCGTCATTGAAAACGACAAGGTTGATTGTCTGGAACAAAGACACGATATGTCGGAAGACCACGTACAGGGTTTCAAGCTGACCTGCTCGTGCGTTGTACCTCTTAGGAGCGTGCTTTGGAACGTGCGAAGGTCAGTCACGCAATGGGCGGCTGCCAACCCGAACCAATATTTGGCGAAACTTCGAATGTAATTTGCAAACCTTACTTGTCCAGGTAGCGTAAAAGCAACTCGTGCTTTTCCTTCCTCGCGAACTTTGGAACCTTTCAAGTAAACGCCTCCATTTCTTTAGGTCTCCGCGGTTCGGGGGTCTCTGGAAGAGCTGGCAAAGCGCGCGGCCGGCGGCAAAGTCTTCCCCCAGGAAGAGCTGGAGAAGCTTGCCGGTGCTGACGTGGCAGACCAGATGCAGAGGAACGTGGCGCCGTCTCTGACCAGGACGGCCAGCGGAAAGAGTGGCGGCTCGTCACCCGCACAGAGTCCCCGACCTCCGAGGTGAGTCTTGGCTTGCAAAAGGACAACCCTTTTTTTAGCGCATAATCTTTGCCAGCTCTAGCAACGTCGCTTCCGCCTCTGACGCTTCTTCAAAACCCGGATTTTCTGTTCCTTATGATAAGCTGGATGCTTTTCAACGGACCATGGGAGGCACCGGGAAGCAATTTCTTGTTTACTGTTTGCTGCCATGATTTTCACCAGCTGGCTCACTTTCTTCTCGACCAATTTTTCCGCTTCCGCTCCTCAGGTCCCCTCCTGTGAGCAACGGCAAGGTGGCCGCGCGCGTAGCGGAAAACCTTGCTGTGCGCGTCCCAGCCCCCATCTCCGAGGATGATGATTCCATCAAGCAGCGAGTGACGCCGCCCTCGCACAGGAAAAGCCTGGAGAGCTTCAAGAGGGGTGGCGTGGAGCTGTCGGGGGCCACTGCTGGCAACGCCCGCCGGATGAGGGATGGCATCCGGTAAGTTGGTCTCAGAGAACGCACACTGTCGACTTCTGCTTGTCGTATGAGCAGATTGTACAGACAGCAAGAAGCTGGATCATAAAGTCGCGCTTCATCGGAGTGGTCGTACAAACTAACAGGTATAGCAGAAGCCGGGTCCCAATTTGATTCTAAAAAGAGGCGATATCTTGCAAGCGTCGCCGATAAAGCGCCTCAATCATTAAATATCATCCAAGCCGATGGGGAGACTGAATGACAGGCTTTTCAAAGTTTGAACGCTTTGATGTTTGCAGGGAGCGCGGTCAGGACGTGGACCTTGAGGCAGTCAAGAAGGTCGTGCCAAAATCCGACAGCACCCGGCAGCGCCTTGGGAACATCCTCAGGCGAGTGGAATTGGCCTGTGCTGCTTGTTACGTCATACCCGCTTCACACTGTTTTAGCCTTGAGTTCCTTGGATGATTAAGATTCCGAGTAAAATAGCAAGATTCTAGGTGCTAGGGTGGATCCCCAAGACCAAACGGTAGAGCAGTTGAAGCACGAAAGAAGTGGCACACCCAAATGCTCTCCGAGTGGGGACATGGGCCAGAAGGGATGGATGAGTGAATCCGCAATGGAGATGGAAAGGAGTTGAGGTGACCCGATTGAGAAAAGCTGGACCAAAACCTGACGTAGTCGACTTTCGTTCGTGTCCAGCCAAAACTTCATCTTCAGCGATCTGGAGCCCGCGCTCCGAGAGGAGATCATCGACGCGTTTACGGACATTCGCATCGCGCCAGGAACGGAAGTCATCAAGCAAAACGACATGGGTGACAACTTCTACATCGTGGACGTTGGCGAGTTTGAGGTCGTCAAGCAGGAGGTAAGCGTTCACGAAAACCTGAGAATGGCTGCTTCAGGGAACGGCAACTAGGGGTAAATCTTCTATGTTTCTGACTCAAAGTGCAAAACTTCTGTCAACACAGACATTGGAAGGAGCAGGGAGCACGGATTGGCTGGATTTGTATATTTTAGCAGCATTTGCTGGCAGGAGGAGAGCTGTTCTTGTCAACGTTACCTGTTTTTGTCGCCAAGCACAGAACCGAAAGTTTGCTGATTCTGGAAGACTTTCCAGAAAGTGGTAATGAGGACACTTTCTGCGCTTGAAGAGTTCCACAGGAATCGGAGAACATGGAACGACCACTCGTGACCATTGAATTTACGAGATAACTAGGACCGTCTGAGATTCACAACCTTTCCACTTCTTTGCAGGGAACGGACCCCCCGGTTGTGGTCAAGGTCAAGGGTCCCGAGGAGAGCTTCGGCGAGATCGCGCTTCTCTATGACTGCCCCCGAAACGCGACGGTTAGGGCGCTAACCCACGGCTTACTGTGGTTCGTGGACCGGGTGACGTTCAAGAGCATCATCCTGCGTCATCTGACCGAGTCCAAGCCGGCTCAGGTGAGGGTTCTCTCTACGAACTCCGCAGTAATAGAGAGCGAAGCGTAGCTCGCAGGAAAGTTTCTGTAGATCAATCAGCAGTCTAAATTGGCAAAGAATAAGAATCAGTGCGCGCGTTGATCCATTTTGGTCTGGCGCAAGCAACTGAGGAAGGATCCGGGTCTTATCGGGGTGGAAAAACACTCTGGCAACCAAGGTACTCCGTCTGTACTGGATGGTGATTTTAGGGTTCTGTTACGCGTCGGGAAATAATACGCAATCTTCCATCCGTTACAGACTTCGTATCCTCAGATGTTCCACTGATATCCATTTTGAAATTTCGCTCAAATTTCTTACTCCGCTTTGTCGCAGATCTTGCGAGAGGCCCCTGCGCTGCACAAACTCGCGACCCGTGATGTGGTCAACCTCTCCAACCAGAGCAAGACTGAGCTCTTCTCGCGTGGGGAGTGCCTCATCAAAGGAGGGAGCATCATGGAGAAGGTCTACGTTATCGCGGAGGGCCAAGTCAGGTGGGCGTTGATAAGCTTTCAGATCTCTTGGAAACCCGTACGTGTGAAGCTTTTGTGGCTCTCCGTGGCTGTGAATACGGACGTCAGTGCGCTTCGACGTTCAATTAAAGCAACCGTTAAACAGTCGCCAACATGTTTCGTCGAGCTAGCACGTGACTCGGAAAAGAGAAGAAAAAACCACCTCAAACATCAAGTCTGCCGCTCCCGGCGCGCTGGCTACTACTGCATCCATACGACACCTACTTGCAATCGAGAAACCGATTTCAACGCCAATCCAAAATCCTCTTCGTCGAAACTTACAAATTATCTCTCGTACAGAGTTACCAACGGCGCGCCCCCTCGCGCCGGCATGCGCCAGGTGGCGGTCTCTAGCGCTGACACGGCGGCCGTTCTGGGCCGGCTGGCGGTGCTCGGGGAAAGCATGCTGCTGAGCGGAGAGCAGATCAGCACCTTCAACTACGTGGCAGCTTCCGACACGGTAAGTGTAAATAGACCTCAGAACGCTGATTTAGCCTTCTTGATTGGGGGAAATGGGTCATGATCGCCTCGAAGCGGGTGGCAGACGAGCTTATTGACCACGTGGCAGCCTCAGAGATGGTATGGAATCATGGATGTTTTGGGTTTTTATGAGGACTCGCCCCTGAAGCAGAACTGATCTCTCTTTGATTACTAATCACCTGATTCGTGAAGACCCAGTCCCCCCTTTCAACTCCAGCCCCGAGGAGAGAGTTGCCGCCGCCTCGTTTAGTTCCTCTCTTGTTGGGTTTTTGCTTCGCCCCCGCCTGGTGAATCTGCCCCTCCAGGTGGCCATAATTCTAGTAGTCGAACCGCGCAATTGTCAGCGCGCGCGCCTCCCGGCACGGGCTGTTGTCGCAGCCTCAAGATGGAATTTTTAACATTCCTGCCTTCACCCCGTGCAGGTTACCGCGATCACGATCGACCGCGCGCTGTTCGACGCGCACATTCTGGGCACCGTACGGCGCGGCCTGCAGCTGCAGCTGGTGACCGTCGCGCTGCAGCGCGTGCCCGCGCTCTCCGACCTCAAAGACGACCAGCTCGAGACCCTCGCCGAAAGCTTCACTGAGCAGTCCCTTCCCTGGTAAGATCCCTCGGGGCTTGGAGGCCTTTTCCAAGCTCTTTCGTTGTTTTGTGTGGTTATCTTGGCAAGTGCGCGGGTTGCGTCGTGTTCCGGGTCTATAGAGAAGCTTTGAACAGACCTCCAAGAGGACTAGCACGAGACCCTCGCCGAGAGCTTTACCGAGCAGCCCCTCCCTGGTAAGACTCCCCGGGCTTGGCACCCTTTTTGGATTCGTTTCGGTATCCATTTCAAGGTCATCTTGTTGTCTACTGAATATTATTTTGACGCGCACGTCGGCCGCGGTTGTAATTGTCTGCCCATGAGGCATTGATAAGACCTGGAAGCCACCAGCTCCGAGTCAGTCATTCGCCGAGAGCTTTACGGAGCAGGCCCTTCCTTGATAAGATTCCGCGGAGGGGTGGGAACATTCTTTAGGATCTTTCCGTTCTCCGTGGCTCGTTTGACCTATGCACGAGGTGCGTCTTTTCCCGAGCCTTTACAGAAGCTTCGAACAAACCTGAAAGACGACCAGCTAGATAGCCTCGCCGCGAGATCTCTACGCAGGCCCTTCCATGATCAGATTCTCCCGGTTCTTTACAAATCTACAACTGGTTTTCTTACTCAAACCGCAAATGAAAATGGCTAAGGATGAAACACGCACCTGGCTCTCATTCTGATTGGCGCGAAGTCCATGCTTTTGCAGCGGCAGTGAAGTCACTCGCGCCGGAACCGTTTCCGGCAACCAGGCGCGCATCTACATCGTCCAATCTGGGCGGATCTCGCTCGCGAACATGGGCGATTGGCCCGGCAGCCCCTCGGGGGGCAGCTCCCCCTCTAGTTCGCCCGGCCCAGTCCTCACCCGCTCAAAGACGTCGAACTCAGGTATGGCTCTGTTATACTTCCAGCCATCAAAGCCTGAGGCTTGATTGTATAGAGCGTGAACTCTTGGCATGAACCATCAGGCTCCACAGATCTGAGGCTTGGTCGTTCATTTTAGGCGAGAGCCGTACACTTTTTTTCTGATTTCAATTCAAGCCGCAGTTACATATGAACACTTCGCTACAAGATATCGAGATTTAGGTACGGAAATGGTCGTTTCTAAACTGCAGATAGTAGCTTGAGATGCAGCTCTGGTTGTCCACGGGTGTCTCCTTCCAGTCACGACGTTCGATCGCCTAATCCGCATTTAGTGAATTGAGTTACCTTTCAATTGAGTCGGCATTAGTTTGTGCATTTTGATTGAATATTGATGGAGCTTCCAAAAACTTTCCGCTTCAGGATGGAGATCTCGCATCGGCGGCATGTCCCGCAGATTATTTTTCGACAACTGTGTAGTCAATGATAAAAATTTGCGATTTTGCAGCAGGATGGGGTTCTCGCATCGGCGGCATGTTCCGCAGCGAAAGCTCCCCCAAGGCGGGCGGCGGAAGCGCCCCGGGCAGCCCCAGCGGAACCGCGCAGGGCCTTCCGGTCACCGGAACCATGTCCACCGGACACGGCAGCAACTCGCCGTCCCGGTTCAAGCTCACCGAGCAGCCGTTCGACGAAGCGGACTCGAATTCGGACGATGAGGACAACTCGGAAGCGCCCGGAGAAGCGTCCGAAAAGGTCGGGGCGTTGCGCCGGCCGCTGGGCATGCAACCGGTGAAGCTGTCGAGGACGAACACGCTGCCGTCGCCCACCGGAAGGGCGCCCATGACGCCCGTGCTCCAGTCTACTCGGTCGCTGCAGGTGGGGATTTTGATGTGGTTTGGTATGATCATTCTGCGCGGTACAGATGCCTCAAAAAAAAACAGTCCTACGCGAATCCAACAAAACCAAAGAAGGCACTAACAAGCACTGAAACGGTTGTGGATATCTCGTCGGCGACGAGCAAATTATGGCTGCTTCGCTGACAGTGCGCTGCTGGGCGCACAGATAATCAAAGCTCGTCGCTTCGTTCTAGTTTCGGGGGGTTGCATCTGTCTGACCCGTCTTTAATGCCTTCCAGACCGCCAAAGCCTGCGTCACGACGTACGGTTGCTTCGGCGACGAGGCGCTGCTGGGGGGGACCCACATCATCTGCTCGACGACGGCCGTCGTGGAATCCGGCGACGGCTCTGTCGTCCTTTCGATCTCCTTGAGCGAGTTGACAGCCATCCTGGGGCCAATCCAAGAGATCCTCATGAAGGCGACCAACCTGCGGGTGCTCAGGTGCGCGCGGTCGCCCAGATTCTCGTGTTGCGTGGTAGACTTTCGTATTAGGCGTTTGCTCACAGGAAGGATGAGTTTTTGTGTTGACTCGATCGGGATGCAAACCTTCACTCTGTCCTTTAGATCTACACCCCCAGAGAATGTCCGTGCCTGCTCGGACGAGCTCGCAGGGAGCGACGAGACGCTCTTCCGCAGCAGCTAGCGAAAGAGATGATTGTAGCCACTATCGTGCTCCAAACCGCGCCTCTCTGTCGTTGACGCTGCATCCACCTTGCGAACGGCAAGAGGGAGGCTGATATGATCAAGAATCCACAGGGGTAGTTTCGAGTTGTTTACCATTTTGCATATATTTGGATTCATTACCATTGTATCGCTTTGAAAGAGATCAAGTCTTGTGTTCCAGGTCCGTGCCGTGCTTGGATTACCTCACCGAGAGCGAGGTGGAGGTTTTGGCCACGGCCATGGGGGTGGTGCGCTTTGCCCCAGGCGAAAACATCTATAAGGCCGGGGAACCTGCGGACCGGATGTACGTCGTTCGCAAGGTGCGTTTACTCGACTTTGGAAGCTCTTGCAGTTGACGTATCCAGATTGCGTGCAGCGTTCTTGGAGACGTGTTCAAAAGGAGTGTTATGTGAGTCTACAAGGCACATTTGCTTCCGTCCTTCTCTAGGGGGCCACCGTAGACTTTGCTGCCGTCTACGCCCGATTCATAATGTCGTGTTGTTTGCCTTTCTACGATTCTGGATGGCAGCTTACCTATCATTTTCGGCGCACGTTGAATCTCCATAAAACTGTCAAATGCGAAGGCAGGCGACCAATTTGGCCAGGGTACATTCCTGCGAATGGAAGGCCGCATCCTTAATAGGCTCAAGGGACCGCCAAGGAGCTGCAGCTTCCAGAGACGGCCGTTCCGCTTCTGCATCTCGAATAGTTTCAGGCTCAATATAAGACAAGAAAGACAATCTCCGTTGAGATCTGTGCGTATCGAGGCTGCTTTTCCGTGTTCCGCAGGGCACCGTCCAGGAGATGCCCGCCGCGTCGGCCGGCGGCCGCGGCGCGCGCAGCAGCTGCGAGGGGCGAGCGTACGCCAAGGGCGCGTTCTTCGGGGAGAGCGCGCTGATCGGGCCCGGCGTGCGCAAGGAGACGGTCGTCGCGGGCGGCCTCGAAGCGCGCGGGTTCCAGGAGCCGAGGAGCCCTGTCGCAGGTGAGAAACGTTTGTATCTTCTTTTGAGGATGTCTGTTTTGGAGCGCTGAGACTTGGGAGAGGTTAGAAGTTGTTTAACAGGAATCATGATTTGAGGAGAGCGCTGATTCGGGTCCGGCGTGCGCAAGGAGACGGTCGTCGCGGGCGGCCTCGAAGTGCGCGGGTTCCAGGACCTGCGGAGCCCCGTCGCAAGTAAGAAAAGCTGGTATCTTCTTCTGGGCAAACTGTCTGTTTTTCAGGCGCTGAGCGGCGGCCACAGCGGCGATTCACCTATCATCGAATTCTCTATTATCCTAGCCACGTACTTCGCGAACTAAGTGGCGTCTCTAGAACCCTATAACCTATCATCAAGACAACCTAGTATCCAGAACCCATTGTCGCAAGCTGAAAAGAGAGCGCCAGGACTGCAGCGGGGCTCTTCCGAAAAACCTCGGAATCACGAGACTGATCCCAGGGCCCCGGCTACTGAGCCCTTACTGATTCAGCCTCATAGAAATCTAAGCATAAAGTTTCCCTCAATTTATGCGATTTCACGGGCCTGAAAGAGAGCGGGGTGAGCAGCGGGAGCTCCTTCCCGACTTGGCCCGGCCCCGGTGTCACGAAACTGACTTCAGCCATTGTAAATACTCTACCTGGGCAACCCCGTCTCTGAAATCCGTAAACCTTAACCCCTAAAATAGCCTTACTAACTCACAACCCCTTTTCGCAGGCCTGAAAGAGAGCGGCGGCCGCAGCGGGGGCTCCTCCCCGACCGTGCCCGGGACCGTCGAGCTGTACTATCTAGATCGGGCGGTTTTGGAGGCGAACCTGGGCCCGCTCGAGGAAGTGCGCGAGCAGCGGCGGAAGGAGGACGAGCTCAAGGGCATCGTCAAGGCGATTAAGCTGGAGGAGTTGGAGGAACTGGGGCTTCTGGGCACAGGTAAGAATATATTTTAAGCCGTCTTTTAATCAAAAGACAAAGGAGACACGGGTCTTGAGAGACTGGTTTTCCGCGTTTGTTGGAGCGAGCGCCGGTGGAAGGAGGGCGAGTTGAAGGGCATCTTCAAGGCAATCAAGCTGCAAGAGTTGGAGGAGATGGGGCAGTTAGACACAGGTAGGTACTTCTTGTTACGAAGGTTGTGTCAAGAGCATAGGCAAATCAAACTGAAAGCTTTCATTCCTCGAGTCTTGTGGTGCGCAACCGGTGCCGGAAGAGGGAAGAGCTTGATGCATTTGCTAAAGCGATCAAGCTGGAGGAATTGGAGGGACTGGGGCTGCGGGGCACAGGTAAAGCATTGCTGTGAACGACTTTCTCCAAAGATTGACTATCAAGTTGAAGTATTCTGCTTTCTTGAAATCTTTTGGTGCGCTTAAAGCGGAGCAGGAAGTAAGAGCTGGAGGTTTTTGCTACCAGTAAGACGTGGCTTCACCCCCCTTTCCGATCGGGTCGGTCCGGCGCACGGGTGGACACGACGCGCTCGAAGCAGCTTAACATGTCAAAGGAGCTCGGAATTGACGTCAACACCTTCTCAGGCCAACCGACAAGAGCGTGATGTTACAAGTGTAAGCTTCCCAGGGCGTTTGAGCGACTTGATTGACATCAAGCCCTTGATCGAGCAGTACGCGCTCACAAACAAGTCCTATACTAGATCAAAGTTAAGGAACGTGACGTCAATCACATTGGCCGCCACTCAAACTTGACGTCATCTCCTCCTCTGCAGGTCTGTTCGGCAAGGTGAAGCTGGTGTACAATAAGCGCACGGGCGAGCTCGACGCGCTCAGATTCTCTTACCAAAAGGTATCAGCATGGATGCGCAATTGTACCACATGACGTCACCTTTTCAAACATGACGTCACATAATCTCCGCAGGTCTGTTTGGCAAGGTGAAGCTGGTCTATAACAAGCGCACGGGCGAGCACTACGCGCTCAAGTGCGTGAGCAAGACAAAGGTGGTGCGGATGCAGGAGGAGGAGCACCTGCGCAACGAGAAGCTGCTCATGAGCGAGCTGGAGCACCCCTTCATCGCGAAGCTCATCCGGACCTTCAAGGACAAAGACAACGTGAGGATTCCTCTTTGCAAACATCGGGAATATCGTTTTTTAATTTTTTGTTTGGACGTCGCGCGATGGCAAGGACCAAAGAGAAGCTGCTCATGAGCGAGCTGGAGCACCCCTTCATCGCGAAGCTGATTCGGACCTTCAAGGACAAGGAAAATGTGAGGATTTTGCTTTGCAAACAATGGAATCTTTTTGTCTGTACTATTTGTACGTCGCGCGATGACAAGGAACAAAAAGAATTTGCTGGTGAGCTACAGCACCCCTTCCTTGCGACGATCATCCGGAATTTCAAGGACGAAAACAACTCAAGGCAATCTGGTAGCTTATGTCTACTTCAAGGATGTTCGACTTTCTGTGGTGATATAACGCGATGGAAAGGACTTCTCCCGAGCGACCTTGAGCATCTTTTCATCGCGAAGCTCATCTGAATCTTCAAGTACAAACATAATGGGAGTATTCTGACGACTTCTAATCGCCAAAAGCTTCATCTTCATGATGCTTTAGAACCCGGTTCGACTTTTCTCTGTATCTTGCGCAAAGATAAGCTGCACATGCAAGTATTGGGGCGCCTTTCTGATACGAAGATCATTCCGACCTCCAAACATTAAGGCGGCCTGAAGGATCAGTTTTAAGCCCTGAGTATGATTTCTGATTTGTGTAAAATTACACCACACAAATTACCCGGTGTACCTCAGAAGCATCGTACACCGCAACACTGTGATTGCCCGCTCTTTCGCAACAAATCTCAAGAAATTTATTGTTTTGCCTGGAAGCATACTTTGTTTTCAATGTCTAAGATCTTCAAGAGTCGTGGCAAGTAGACCTGTGACGGCGTGTCATGACGCTTACACCAACTCTGGTGTCCACTGTAACCAGCTCCACTCGACAGACCGCTGACCCATTTTGTTTCTGCTTCCTCTGGCAGGTGTATCTGCTGCAAGAGTTGACTACTGGGCGGGAGCTGTTCCTGTTCATGGAGAAGGCGGGCCGGCTCAAGGAGTGGGAAGCAGCCTTCTACGCCGGCGGCGTCTTGTTGGCGTAAGTGTCTAAGGCAAAGATCGTCGTGACGCACTTGTAATTCCTGGGATACCGTCAGCTTGTGTGTTCCCTTCGGCGCGATGAGTTGAATCTGAACGATCCAGAGCGCGTGGTTGCTCCTGGCAGAAACGAGAGGGCTTCAAACATCGTTGAATTTTTTTCTCGGTCTGGCTTAGGGAGATCTATCGGCATGGGAGGAGGTTGATCTCCGCGCCACGAGCTCGTTGCCAAGCTCTTCTGATCAGATTGCGGTTTTGAGTTCCATCTTCGCTGAAAAAGGATTGAACTCAAAACGCCAAAATGTATATCGCGTTTCTCTGGCAAACATCGAGACGGCTACCATGTTCTGACAACCGACCGCCCTCCCGAGCACGATAACGAGGCTGAAGCGGAGGTAGATGACGCGGATCTTCAGCCCAGACCTTTCCGCGCTCTCATAGTCCGCTGCTGATCGTCAAATAGTCCCCCGTTCACCGCAAGCGACTGCGCCATTCGGGCCCGTTTCGCAGGCTGAAGCGGATGAAAATAAAAATAAGCATCCTTGTGCCGAAGTCTACCTTCTCTGAAAGTCTCCAAAATCAAGGGATCGCCAGTTCATCCGATTGACCGCGTGGCCCGGCGCTTCTTGCAGGCTGGAGTACATGCACAAGAAGGGCATCCTTAACCGAGACCCGCACTCCATCTCAAGCTTGGTACTCAAATCACTGACCGCATTTGCCGGGCGCTTCTTGCAGGCTGGAATACATGCACGGCAAGGGCATCGTGTACCGGGACCTCCTTCCTCGCACTCCATCTCAAAATCGATATTCGATTCAAATCACTGACCGCATTCCCCGGGAGCTTCTTGCAGGCTGGAGTACATGCACGGCAAGGGCATCGTGTATCGGGACCTGAAACCGGAGAACACGCTGATCGACGAGAGCGGCTACCCCAAACTGATCGACATGGGCTTCGCCAAGCGGCTCGCTCCGCACCGGAAAACCTACTCCATGTGCGGAACGCCGGACTACATGGCGCCGGAAATCATCCGGCGGCAGGGCCACACCAAGGTGAGCGTTCCGCTTGATTCCGTTCCTGTTCCGCTTGCTCGCTATCTTCTGCGAGGCTGTGTTACCACTGTCTGACGGCGAAACGCTTAGCTAGACGACACTGGTATCGAAGCAATGAGGGGCTATTTGGGGTAAAAGCGCTATTTGGGGTAGAAGCTTTGGGGGTAAATCTGTGAATCTCTGCCTTACGGTTGTGATTTAGCTTTCTTGGCTCTTTCTGAAAACCCATTGGTGCTAGATTTTGCTGATTGATGTCCCAACGGGATCTGGCAGTAGGATTACAACAATACGTGAACGTTCGTTTTGGATTTGGCGACCATATTGTTTCTGGTTGTTCGAAGTCTTTTTCTCTTGTAGCTTTATCATAGACTTACTCTCTCCCACACGCTTTCTGAGGCACCTCCACCATAAGCGGCCCCTCCCATTATTGTCTGGCTGCTTCCTTTCTTAGGCGCCTTTGATGCGTGTCCAGTCCTAGTTCCTTTCGGAGTCTCCCTAACAACATTGACTGAGCCTGTAGTTAACAAAACCTTTTTCTTTTGAACCCGCGTTCCACGCTATATCGTCTTATGGTACACTTCTGGTCGATCGACCTTTCACATGCTCACACGCAACATTGAGGTGCGTGAACCTGGATTCTGTGTTCTACTAAATTCTCCCGCTTTTCTTTGTTCAGGCCGTCGACTACTGGGCGCTGGGTTGCATGATTTTCGAGATGGTGACCAACACCAGCCCCTTCAACAGGGGGGATGATCCGCCGCAGGTACGCCCCCGCTCTGACCATATCTTTCCAGCCCTTCCCATTGCTCGCGCAAGAAAGTTGCCGCTCCATAGATATGAGTACGTGAGCATCCAAGAAGCTGGGCGGATTCCATAGCCGTATGAAATCGCATCTTCTCAATCTTCTTCTCCACAGGCTCCTGCAAACTCTGACGCGAGTCCTTTTTGCACCCTATTAGACACCCGAAACATATTTTCAGGGATTTGGGGGCATCTTTTATACACGGATTTTGCGCCTCACGAGCGCTGGCTTACTTTACCTTCATTGAGAAAAACAACCTTCAGTGGCATCTCTGGGCCCCCTCACATGACGGAACCTCTAACGGGTTTTCCGGAATCTTGTACAGACCGTCTTCCAGCGCATCACGGAGGGCCGGCTAAGCTTCCCGTCGTACATGACGCCCGCGTGCGTCGACATCATCCGAAAGCTGCTGGACCCAAACCCGGAAACTAGACTGGGCTGCGGGAAGAATGGAGCGAAGGACATCAAAGACCACCCCTTCTTCGCTAAGGAGATCAACTTCAACCTGTTGATCCGCTTGAAGGAGGAAGCGCCGGTAAGGGATCTTGGCCCCTTCCGAGAGTGGACGGCTTGTGTCGCTCAGTTTAGCTGACTTCAAATAATTGTGGGCAAGCACGGTGCAGAACCGAAGCTTCGCTCCGTCTTCGCCAGAGAGATAGCTTTCAACCTGTGAATCGGCTTGAAGGACAAAGCGCCGGCGGGTGTCCTTTTGAGCTCTTTCGGGGTTGAGTTGACTATTTTGGCTGCACTCAATGTATCTCGACGTATTCAAAGGCAAGCACGACCCAAACGCCAGAAGGCCCGTTCGGGATCAGCTTTAAACTGATTGCCGTCGAAGTCTCTCTGTCCCATAACCTGCATTTAACAGGGATCGCTCCTCGCCGCTTGCAGATGATCCCACCCAAGGTGGACAATTTCGGCGACCTGTGCATCGACGAGGACGTCCGACAAGACGAAATGGACGCCCCGCTGACAAAGGTCGTAGACCACTCCTACTGGGACGACATCTTCTAACCACTGAGAGTGGGCCACGTGGCGGCTTCGCCAATCATGACATAGGTAGCCCAAAGTGTACACCAAGTGAGATCCCAGCGATAGCTTCCGCCCGGGTTACGTGTATGATAGGCTATCGCCCGGAACGCAGACATGCTGACTTACTTGGAGAGTTAGAAAAGAGGACACGTCATGGGAGAGTTTGCACCGATCCAACGGTCGCGCTCGCCCCGCAAACGACGTGGCACGGCGCGCGCAGCTTTTATTCCACTTTTAGATTAGTTAGACGGTAGTTCATTCCACGTTTTGGGCTAGTCAAGCCGGGAGCGAATCTTACAAAAAAGTGCGTGGATGGAAGCGGGTGAGGGGTGAACCGTGCAATGCGGTTGAGGTCATTACGTATAGCGAACGGACGTACGGACTCCAGTAGGCTTGCTGCCAGCTTGCATTAGAAACTGGACGGCATGCGAGAATGCTATATTTCTCGGCAAATCATCTCTTTATACTGGCTATACGCATATCATGAGCTTTAATCTGCGCAATGTGCGAAGCTTCAATGAATGAGACCAGGACACTTGCAGACCTGCATGCCAGTACGTGCATCGTTATCTTGAGCGGTAGCGAATTTGAAAACTTCACTAGCTCGCTGGTTCGATGCAGGCCAAAATCTCCATTCCAATCCTGTCACGGTACAAAGGTACAAATGTTGGTAAACCAGTGAGGCCATGCGTCTATGACAGGCGCAGATTATCATACACTTTAGTAAAGTACACAGCAAGTCAAAGCTTGATTCCCTGAGCTATCGACTATGAGATATGATCCATGTGGAACTCGATGATTGTCGTACTGACCGTCATTCAATCAATCAAATAGAGGGCTGCATCTGATTGAGACACTGAAAGCTGGCATGTATAATACCAAAGCGGGCTAAAGAAAGAAAGTGTACAGTAGTTGATCAATGATAATCACCATTTACTTCGGGCACTTAAAGGCAGAGAGCTAATCGAGTTGCACAAGGAGAAAACGGTCTCGATCATGCAGCCGATGCTGCATTCGAAGATGCAAACAAGCTAGTTGCAGCTCACAGAGGCAGTCGTGTTGCAAGCGGAGCGAATGATTCGTTTCAGGTACTTACGGTGCTCAAGTGTTAGTAAGTGTACGAAACGTACTGCATGCAGGCGCTAGACATAAGCAACTGAACATTGCAATTACTGGCGGCCGTATAAGAATTTAGCTTGTTCTTGTTAACGGGTCGTCAAGCTTAATTGCAGCATTGGGAACAAGGCTAGGCGGTTCCAAAGCTCGCTTCGCTAGCTCCCGGGCAGTGGAGGAATGCCTTATCCTCGAAGGATGAAATTCTCGGTCAACAGGGTAAACGTTCATGTGGTACGCATAGAGACGCAATAAACCTCTGATGGACAAGGGCACCGATGAGGAACCGAGTCGACATCTCAGATAGCGCCTACTTTAACCGAGCGCGGATCCCAGCTAGGAATGGTCTGTCAACCAAGAAGGGCAACAATCAAGGCGGCCATGCCGACAATCGCCAGGGCTCTTCCCGCGGCAGCCGCGCCGTTTTCGACGACTGGGACGTTTTCAACGATCCGCAAGTTAGTGAGCGCGCCGGACGGTAACGGCGCGTGGGCCAGCCCGCCGAGCGTTACGTTGGAGCTGTTGAGGCGCACGGTCAGGTTGGCAAACGCGCGCGGCGCGGCCATGGGCGCGAGTGCGGGCGCGGGGGCCGGCGCGGCGGCGGGAGGCGCCGGCGGGGGCGGGGGCAGAATGACTGTCGTGGAGTTCCAGAGAGGGGGGGTGTCCGTGGTATTGTAGATGGTGACGTCGGTCGGCGGAACGGGGCCCTTGACCGCTGCGGAAAATGGAACGAGCGGAACGCTAGTGGTTGTGGATGAAAGATCTGAGTATCACCAGCAACGCAGTTTAAGACGGAATTCAGACCGCTTTCAGCTGAGTGTAGGAACGTGAGAAGGGAGGGAAGCACGGGGTAGGAAAGCGTTGACAAAAAGCAAGCTATATTACAAGGTGCTTCTCTTCCTCCTCTTTTTCCTAGTCTCAAAAGATTCTCCTCGACACCACTAACACCACCGGAATGGTAGTCCGCAACTTACCAGCATTTTGAGGGGCGACCCGCGGTGAAAATGATACAACGCAGCCAAAACAAACTGCGAGACAGCAATACAATTCTGTTCGACAGGAGGAGTCATGAAAGTAAGGACTACGACACGAGTAGGAAACGAAGCAACGCTCTGAAAGGAAGCTTACGTCGAGGCAGTACCCAAAGAATCCCGAGACTCGTCGTCTCTGGGTTACACCCGTCGTTATAGGTGAACCTCCCGGTTTGGTTAACCGTCATCTTGTAAGTGAACGGCTGAGTCTTGTTGTTGCCCGGTCCACATCCCCCGGTTCCTGGTCCGGTGAAAATATGAGGGTCCTGGATGCCGGTCTCTGCGGGTAAAAACAGAACGGTTCGACAGCTTTTTACATGGGAGAGTCGTTCCAGAACACGAACAGCTCGGTGGAAACAGATACACTGCAAGCAGTGTCTCAATTTTTCGAGTTGAGCTGAGATGCAGACTGTTGATACTTGTCGGCGACGTTTCTGAAAAGCACAAGAGCGAAGCAGACAGCAATGAGCTTCCCAACTAGTTTCTTCGATGGGCTACTTTTTTGACCCCGAGTACAATCTAGTCCGGTGCCGTTACGGTCAGTGAGCCTCATCTGGGAAGAAAATCGACAACCCCTGTCGAAGACCCGCCACTGCAGCTTTGGCGGTCTTTAAGATGGAAAGGAGAAAAAAGCGAAGGGCAGAGAAACGTTCACAATGGAAGTGCGGAAATTACAAATTCCCTTAGCCTAAACCCTCACCCCGGCCCACCAGAAGTCTCTGAGTTACAAGAGGAGCAGGAATGAGATCAGAAGGGAAAACTTACGCTGAAGAGTGTGCGCGAAGGAGTCCCCCCACTCCCACACAACTGCGCGCGGAGAATTGCGTGCGGGTGAGTTGTGCCCAAATCGCCCCTTCCTGACCGCGTTTCTAATGTCTGAAACTAGACTTTTGAAATTAACTTTGGCTGATACGTCCCGTGAGGGGTTAAGAACATTCATGACAATTACTCGGGTTGTGTGAGCACCAGCCAAGACAGGGTCGCTACAGAAAACTTGTGAAAGAGACTGCGTGTACGAAGCCACTGGGACACCTACCGAAGTTGTACCTTTCTAGCAGGCAGATCATAGCTTCCAAACGAAATGTCACGTCGTACGGGAGCTTATGTCGTCCGGACCCATAGCTTATGTTGAAAGAGGCACATGGCTGCTTTTCGAAGCTAAGCTCACCTGTGTCGCCTTGAGTAATGGTCGCGTTGATATTGGCGCGGATGATCCAAGCTAGGGAGACAGTCGCACCTGCTGCGCATTGATATGTGTTTCCGTCTTCATCATGCTCTTGCAGACATGTCTTGTATTAGCCAAGCGCGCGAAAACGATCCTTTCGGGGGTGTCTAAAACGTGCAACGTTCTGGACCACCCCCTGTCTTGAACCGCACCTAGTTTAAGACACTGGTTTAAGACATTACGCCGGGGTGCCCAAAGCGCCCCTGTCGTTTCGGCTAAAACAATTGCATTGCTGTCCCCATTCAAAAAAAGTGGAAAGCAGCCTCGAGGCGTTCACGCAACTTATCCGTCCAACGCAGAAGCTCTTTCCTGGTTTCAGATAGAAACTGAGCCGTCAAGGAGTCGCAGCGATCCTGACGTACTGAGGCAGCCTCTTCTGCTTGTTGAAGGACTCAGCACAACATCATAAGGAAGTGACGCAGGTCACAAGACAACGAGGACTAACGTTTTCCCGCTCTACTAGAGCGGCCTCAAAACCGTTTACAAGACCAATATCAATTTAACAGAGGGGTCGTGCCGTTACCTTGGCATCTGGTCGCCGCCAAAGCAACGCACAGCCCCAGGAGCAGAGCGCGCGCGCAGACATCCAGAGCGCATGCGCGCGCGAAAGGAGCGCGCCCCGCCATCTTGTCGGAGGAATCCTGCTGGTGAAATGACCTCTTGCCACTTTTTGTGCTGCGTTGTGCGTAGCTTCTTTTTGGTGGACAGGAATGGAACTCTGCTGGCTTGCAGAGCAGACCTAAACAAGTCAACGATATCAACCATTCTAAAAAGGAGAGAAGAGATTTGTAGAGTCAGTCCCTTTCAAAACTGTCACGATTTGTGGAGGTGGCAAATTCAAGAGTCTATCGTCATTTGCCAACGAGCCTCCCGTTGAGTCAAACCAGCATTGGAAGGCAGCGGTTTTGAGCGAAGCACTTACGAGTCCGAATCTATCAATGCAGATACATTCAGAATCAGAGTTGGTCTCAGAAGCTGGCACTACTGCCGAGACGTCTCCGACTCTCGGACAGCTGTCAGCACAGGTGGAAAACGGAAAAGCGCAGAAAGCTTTTCTTGGTGCGACCAAAGTCAGCGACTCGATACGAGACTACCGTTCTCATTCTCACAACGCCTGAGGACGGAAACGCTCCGAGGGCCTCAGGAAAGTGGGGGGCCCTCACGATCTTCAGGTTTAATTCTGAGAGCAGTGAGTCGGATTGCGACCGTCATTTTGCCTGCTTCTGGACCTAGCGAACATCGAATGATCCTGGAAAACGCCTCTTTACGGGTCGAAACGTCCAAGAATGGGCGTCGAGAACTGAGTGCTTGCTCTTACACGTTCTCGAGCCTTTGTTTCCGCAACTCATCTACCATATGCTTCGATGCCGTGCAACCCGGACGCGTCACGTGGACTCTCCGTTACAAGATAGTACTTTATACGAGATTCTGGCAAAGGAAATGTACACCAAACGAAGTGTTCCTTGATAATGATAGGCATCCGGGGGACGCGGTAGGGTTGGTTCGGTGGTTGGAATGGGTGGGGGTACGGAGCGCATGATGTCTTAGGTTAGACTTTCTACTTTGTGTGCTAGGGGCTTCTAGATCTTATCGAAAACTCCCAAGTTTCACTGTCGGAACACCTCCGTTGTCATTACGCGTTCACGAGATACTATCTTGGACCTTCAAACAAGCGGCGTCGCCATTGATGCGTTCACCGATCGATGAAGCGGGGAGGAAGCTTGCAGTCACAGTCCTTGATTACGGCGTGTCATAGACACGGTGCCAGGGCCCGGGGGCAACGGGGTCGCCGGCGACAAACGTCAGGCCACTTTAAGGCGCTTTTACGCTAGCCTTGTGTCATGCGATATAGGCTCGGCATTCGATTGGGCTCGGTAAGGTTGTAGCGCGACATGTGGATCAAAAGAATGTTATATTATATGATGCATGGTGTTGGTCGAATGGAATTCATAGTCACTCATTATAGTAGGGTAGCTGGGATGTCCAGCTTGTGAAAAGCAAGGATGAAGTTGTAATGCAATTGAACAAGTTAAGATTGGAAGTGGCGTGCTAACATTCAAGGCAACCCTCGTAACACCCGCACCGGCTCACCTTGAGGCTCACAACCAAATGGCAGTGGCTCGTAGGAATTCCGTTGGATGTCCAATGGATAAGCTCAAACACTAGCAAACGACAGAAACAGGTGCATGACACTTACTGATTGGATGATGGCGTCGCCGGAGGCGTGAGACATGATGATGAGAAACAAGTGGGTAACGCTTAGGGCTATAAGGCCGGTTAAGTTACTGTCGTGTTCGTACTACTACCGTTGGTGTTGTTCTCCGTGTGATTCTCCTGGTCGATGGTGTTACTATCGCTGCTGGTACTCTGGTACAATGTGTAGTCTTCCTGGTCCGCCGATACTGCTGGCTGGGTGAGTGTACGCGAGCACACTCGTAAGCTGGGTTGAACGCTCAAGGCGCTCGGATGCTGGTTGGACACGGGGTCCAATTACGATGGTTGATAATGACTTGAATGAAAGTCGAATTGGGAATGGTGATCCCAATTGGCTTAAGTACTCGTAGGATCGCCAATTGAGTTTGGATCTCCAATGGCATTAGCGGCGTTGGATGTCCGCATGCATTGAGCACGCTACGTTCCTAGTATCTAACCTGGTTACTGTCGGTAACATACCCGCGGTAACATAACTGGTTATGTACCCCGGGATCGTTGCAGAACGTACTTGGATTGAATCGCATTATCATTGGATGTTGGCTGATTTGATTGGTCGTTGGACATCCAATACCGCGTGGTCGTCCAGATCCTATCCTAGTCGGATTCTACGCGGTTATAATTAAGTTACGCTAACCTAGCTTACGTTAAACTAACTGGTTACACTACGGTAGCGCCACGTGTTGCACGCTGATTGGCTAGCCGAGGCGATCTGGCACCGAGGGCATATGGCATGACACTTGGCCAGCTAGTGCTTCGCCCGTTTCCTAGCTCGACCGGGCAAGTTGATTCGAATCATTCACTGATGCATTGCATGCCATGGATGGATCGATCATTTTACTGCACGTACGTCGTCATTTGCAGATTCTTGCTGCTTTTAATGTTTAAAGTTATAAGGGATTGATCATGTGATGTTTGCATGCGTCATGCCATGGTGCGTAGATGCAGTCGCGACATGCGGGCCGTGCTGCCGCCAGGCTCGTCCGATCGATCATTTCGCAGCGTGTTAGTACCGGGCGGCTCGGGGAATCCAATCTGCATGGATATAGCCACATGATTCGAGGCTCCATTTCTAATTTGAACAATATCGCGGCGCGGCGCCGATGAGTCGAACGTTGAAATTGTGTAATGGATTTGCAAACTTGAAACTTACAATAGATTAAGTGCATGTGCACTCGAAGTGAGTCCGCAACTGTCAACGTCACGGCGTGTATGACGATGCCAGAGTTCCTTGTTTGATTGACAACTAAAGTTCTTAGTTACAGAGCGTTCTTTTCATTGAATTTTGACTCGGCACGTTGAAGTGCTAGCTCGACCTTTCAAATCAAACGGGCAATCCGTCTGTGTCGACAAAGGTTATGCTAAATGCAATGCTCTAGGAAGTCCTCCTGTCGAAAGGAGAGTCTGTCTATATGCAGTCTGTACGTCACGGTCTGTCCAGTGTCTCAGCCTACATAGACATCGCTGCGAGAATGCAGGGGCGCTAGTCGTTTTGACATACGGCCACTTTGACACGATGCACGGCCGCAACATCCTACCTTTCAAACTTGTTGAGCAGCCAATATATCAACCAGCGGTCACGTAATCAGAGCGGAAGGCCCCTATCTAAAGGCGGACATCCCTACCCTCTTTGGTTAGAGCGACGTTAATACATCAGAAGGCAGTAGCAGCTTTCCTCTTTGACCCTCAAGTCGCTTGCATCTGGAAAACTTGCGAAGTAACTTCTCAACCCGCTGCTTCTAACCCTGCATAAGAGTGGACCCCGTGTCAGGTCAACTTCACCAAAAATAAGCGCGCGTAGCAGGAAACGATAAGCAAGATGAAACCTCTCCGAAATTCATGATAGATCAATTCAACGAGCCTCGCCCACCCACCCCATCGACGACCGTCAGAGCACTTTTTCACGGCGCTTGCAGTTCGAAGATCCTCCACAGGTTTGGCCAAATCAAAGCCCTTCGACCACATACGCATTGGAATCTAGCCTTAGGATGCAGCCCTTTATCGGGCCCTCAACGAAATTCGTCAAAGGTTCTGATCTGACCATCATAAACTGTGTGACTCTCAAGGCGAGGTTTGGTATATCAGCGCGAAGCCACAATTGTAAGTTTTGGCCTTATTCAGCAAAGAAAAACGATAGATAGGAATCGAAACGATAGATAGGAATCGAAACTAAGTGAGAATGGGACGTCTACTCTAATTCAAGAAGGTATCGAGGAATAGACCAAAATAGGGACTAGACCAAAACCCGAAAACGCGTCAAAGCAAATTCAGAACCTGAAGCCAACACTTCGGATTATTGGAAAGATATAGAAAAAGAAAGAGACGAACCTGTTTGGAGCCTGGTGCCGCTACCCCAGACGCTCAGCATCTGATTGCTTCATTGCAGTCGGAATATCTACTGGCTGTGATGACGTGGCAAAGAGGCAGCCTTGCACTTGCACCAGCTATATGGACAGGTTTGGTGGGCCCCGTCGCCAGATGTGGGGGGTTGTCAAATGTTTCAACCTCAATAGCCTATGCCCAAGCGCCGGGCTGTGGCCCTCATAGGCAATGGCGTGGGAGCTCGTATGAGCACCCAATCAATCGGCACTGCATGCGCACCTGCACGGCGGGTTGCTTCCTGGTTAGTCTAGACGCAAGCACTTGTGCTGCAAGTCGCAACAAGGTTAAGGGATCATTGTGGCGTTAAGCACCGATTCTTCGTATGATGTTGACTAAGATTGGCTGCGTTTATCTGCACTGGGGGTCTGCTACTCAAATTCAGATATCACATAATTCTCAGGTGTAACTCATTACGTTCAAAGCAATCATTGAGCAATCAAACCCGACTTACTGAGTTTCTCAAGTATGCATCACTCAATTCGTTCGCAGCTGAGGTCGAACGTGTTGGCAGCCGCTCCTGCAAGCTAGCTGTCGACTGTTGACGTAAACAAGATCCGTATAGGAATAATAAAGGGTGCGTTGAGACACACGAGAGGCCATCAAAGGGCATGCTAACCTGGCGGTTAACCAAGAAGGTTAATGGGTTGACGCCGAGGGTCTCCCCGTGTTTCAGTGCCCCACTGCCGCTGCATGTGCGGGGCAAATCGATGACGTCCATTCACGAAACTACCAAGCCCCCAGCTGTTTCGAGCTTCGGTGTTTTGACTTTCCTCCAATTTTGAATTTTGTGGGGTCTTTGAATCGTGGGTTCATGAGACTAAGGTTTCTCAGTAACTGTTCACATTCGCCCTGTGTGAATGCGGGGGGGCCTCGGGGAAAGTGCCGCTGACCCAGAGTGCCCGTTCGCAGGCCGGGGGGAAAGGTTCCAGTCAATCAACCCGGGGGACGTCGTCGCCGAGCGATCCTCGAATTTCTGGGGGGGTAGTGCATTCAGCATAGTCCAGTCTGCCAGAATCTCCGGCGAGGAATTGCTGCAGCGCCGAGGGGTCACCCTGATGCTTTTCACTTTTGGGGGGGACAGTCCGTGAGAACGTCTCCAGTCCACGTGGCGGGGGGAGGAAATGGGGGACTTGGAAGGGGGGGGGCGGCCGGAATGGTTCCGAGGTGGGGATAGGGTATGCCTCGTGGTGGATAGGTGATGGCCCACGTGGAGGTCCGAGAGGCTCTTTGAGGATAGAAGATGGGGGCTGGCGGAGCTTCCGGAACGGGGGGTAAGGAGGGCTTCTAGAGGAGACACCGGTCGCGATATCATTCCCTGCAAGATAGATTTGACGTCAGAGGTATAGATGGCTGCAAATGAAAAGAAACAAGAACATGCTCTTCTTTCTTCCTTGTCAGAGAAGAGAAAATGGAGCATCGAGGCCGTCTCCTTCGCAAAGACAACCAATTTGAATTTTTAGTTTCCGCAAGCAAAGCCCAGGAGCTTCCCAAGGATTGAAAACCCCTTTGAAAGCGATGCGCGCAAAAACAGAGACCTCTCCAAGCTGAGCAGCTGGGGCTTGCTCTTCAATCAATGTCCGAATAGTACAAGGGAATCCTCATGCCTGTTCGCAACCTGCCATGCCGCATACATCAGGCCAGAATAATTGAGGTGCGACCCATTTTAGACTTGTCATCTTAACAGTTATGCTAGACTAAGAGGCCTCATCACACAAACTCTGCTCAAAGAAACAGGTAAAAGAGAAAAGCTAGCTGGGCAGAGAGTCCTATGCAAAGGAGTATGACATGACAGGCAAACTGCAGTGGAACCCAGCTCCGTAAAACGAAGTGACAAATGGACAACCAGACCCATCAGACAATGATGCAACTAAGTAACACAACAACTTGGATCGTCATTATGGACAACAACACCCAAACATCAATCAGAAATACGTGCAGAGGAAGAGAACAAGCGCACAGACAGGGATTTAAGATGGTCGCAATAAGAGAAGTAGTCTGTTTGTGAGAATAAGAGGAAAGTGCCATGAAATACAACTCGTCCTACTCTCATACGAACACAAACTAGAAACGACCATAGCAAAAGAAACAGGAGAACAGTTGAAGGAAAATTGTTGAACTTGTGAGCGCATTTCTATGTTGAATGTATGTAAGCTCACCCGCGGCGATACATCCCGCGACCCAGCTCCTCTTTTCCTTTCCCACCACCAGTTTCCCTCGTCCACAGGAAACAGAAACAACCGCAACCGCCTTCCCCGCCCTTCCGCCAATTCGTACTCGTCCATCATCATATCCACGTCTTCGTCTCCCGACACCGAAACCAATGTGTCAAGGTCCAAGTCTGGTAGCTGGTACTTTACAAACGACACCGTGTGGTAATAAGCGCTCAACTTTGCCATGAGCTCACGGAAGCTGATGTCGCGCTCAAGCGTCCAGATGCGAGTGTCGCCCCCTGAGTAGATGTAGCATCCCTTGTGGATATTCCATAGGATCTCCCCGCCTATGCTGCAAAGTACCCTAGCGGACTTTGGCTCTAAAGATCCCACCGCAACCCCCTGGCTTGAGGGTGGGCGGGAGTCCATTTCAGCTTCTGCTGAAAGCTTGACGCAACCGTGACAGCTGTCACTTTTTTTCCGACACCTGGCAGGTACTTAAAATGCCAGGAAGCATCAATGCATTACCAGGTACTCAAGGAGCTGCTGTTGAGCCAGCGCGGCGCCTCCTTTGCTCCTAAAACAAATTACGAGCCAACTAAGTTGACAATGTTGCACCTAGGAGGAGGAGAAACGATTGATGGACCAACCTCCTTCACTACAATTCAAAGTTACGTGGGGCCAGCTTTACCATCTACGCAAGGTGGAAAAGCCGTCAGTCTGCAGCACCCTTCCTTGTCAGGATGATCAATCATTCTAGAGAAGGACCCTTGTCCCCCTCTCTGTCCCAACCTGGAAGACCTCTTGATCCTCAGCTTGCGGGCGGCCTTCAGATTAATGTATGCTTTCGGCAGCAAAACTGTCCTACCGCGTCTCCACTGCCATTGGCAGCTTTCTTCAAATTTTTTGAAGAACTCCCTGCAACGCCTGGATGGAGGGAGCTTTCTCACGAAGCTGCGGCACGAAACTCTGCCTGTGCAGCGTGCTGCAGCCTGCAGTGCGGATCGGAAGCTCTGCATTCTTGATAAACGCCCGCCACCTGTCCTGCAAACTGAACCGCAACTTTCTATTCCATAATCTAGATACATGGCTGTGATTGGTCTGTCGATCAAGCCTTAATGGCGATCTTCTACATCGAACGGATGAGAGAACATCTGAGCTTTACATGGTGCCACTTGGCAGCGGTTTACCGCTGGTCTTTCTCCGAATCTTTGGTGACGTCACTCGAAGCTCTCATTAATTTTCGCATAAAAAACAGGGCGGCGCGGGCCCGACTTGGACTCACGATCTTACTGGCCGCGGCCCGCTGCAGATTACGATATGAGCATTTAAGTGGAGATGATTCAAACCGAATATACCGAATAACCGAATAATGTACTGACAACTTGTGCTTCCGGTCCATCCGGTTAAAAATGGCTCGGCGGGTTGTCAAGAATCCCGCTACCGGTGTATGGCCGCATGCTTGTTTGGGGTTTGCACTCTACAGTCGATACTGTGGTTGGTTTACAGCGCCTATTCGATGCAACGTGGCCGGGGGTAATATGGGGCCACCGTCCGACCGTTTATGGGTCGGAAATTCTCGGAATGATTGCTGCGGTCAAAAGAAGCCGGCGGTACGAACGGTACGTAACGGTAACGCTACGCGAGTACCGGTAGATTAATTTGTGAAATCCTTGTAATTTTGCGCGCACAGCGCGCGTCGAAACGGCCTTGGAGCATCTGCGAACCCTAATCCTCGTGTGCAAGAAGAGAGCTGCTTCAGCCTTCAGCTTTTGATCAGAACTCTTCAAAGTCGTGACCGGACAATGGCCAGCTGATAGCTTGATGTGAACTTCTCAGTGCCCCTGCTTTCGAACCAACAGCTGCCTCTCACTTCTTCCAGGCATCTTAAATTACGCCAGAAGCAAGCGCTGTGCATAGATCAGTTGGCAGACCAGGCACCACCTGTGAAGGAGCTCGATTCGAGCCACGCATACACACTTGCTGGGCCAAGAAAGCAAGCCCATTTTGGTAGAGTATACATCATCTGGACCAGTCCGCAGGGGCCTGCGTGGGATTTGAGCAATGTGACACAAAAAGACTAAGTTGTGAAAAAAGATCGCACAACTTGGCTCCTAAATTAAATAGCCTGTGTCTCCACCTGGTCAATTCAATGTTTTCGATTTGGTCAGCTCAGCAGGGTCTGAGACCGAATTGCCTAAGGTCCCGACTGCCAGGCAGAGTCCTTCTTTAAGTGTAGATGGGGCTTGCAAGGTTGATCCATTCTGGCCTGTAATCATTGCCAGGAAGCACCATGATACTCTCTAGAGCAAGGAGCACGGCGGGTGCGCAGACAGATAAAACGCAGCGTGACTCCAAGCCAAAGGTCCCAGAGCTCGAGGAGCTGCTGCAAAAGCGGGACTATGTAGGGGCTGTCGCACTTTTGGAGTTCCGCCGACTGGTGAGCTGATCCTTCAAGCTTACCATTACAGCTTCTTCCAAGGAACCTCCGACTTTTGGTGCGAAGTCAATCTAGACTGGTCGGTTTGTAGCTGATTGTAGCCAATTGGAATTAGACAATACTGTAAGTAGCAGGGTGCTCGGAATAGGCTGTAGAAGGAAGCTTTCCCTTGCTTAGAAGGACTTGAAATCTTTGCATGTAACCCCACTAGCTACTGGCTTGTGAAGTAGCGCTGATTAATCGAACTTGATTTCCGTCAGAATGTCTTGGTGACAGCCAACTTCAGTGACGGTTCCGACTGATTGCTTGCTCCCAAATTTGGGGTAGACCTTGACCAGCTTGATCAAAATTTTCCTATTGAGAACCGCCTGAGGCATACCGGGCTCGTCAGTGGAGACATCAGGACCTGTTCGGAGGCCAATTTGGTAATGCTCTCCCTCCTTACACAGCATTGGCATGGTCGCAACTTTAATGAGAAGATCATTGACCGGCTTGGTTAAACACCAAAGTTTCTCAGGTTGACACAGGCAGTTAACGCTCTTACATTGAAGTGCCAAAACCCAGCTTCTTCGGACTTGAACGCTCTTGTGCAGCCTGTTTGGAAGGAGTCCATTGGAATCAATGCGTCTCGCTGACAGCCAAGCTGAAGTGCTTTTCAAATTTGCGCTCTCTAGAAAATCTCAGCTTTTCTCAACCACCCGTTCCATGTAACTGCAGGCTGACAAGAAGGATCCAAAGACCTCAGAGTGGTTAGCGTACAGCTACTTCCACTATGGGTTACACGATAAGGCGCTGGCCATCTATAAGGAGCTGGCTGAGCAGCCACACGCAGATGGGATGTACCATAGCTATGCGGCTGCCTGCTTATACCACATGGGGCGTTATAAGGAGGCGGAGGAAGAAGCGCTGAAAGGTGAGGGAGGTTCTGGCTTGGATCTGACTGCTCAAGGGAGAGAAAGGCAAAGCAGAAAAGACGAACGGGAATCAGCATGGGAGAGAAATTGGCTGCATCAGAGGGGCGTGATGATCTTACTATAGCGGAACCTTTTTGTTTTTGGACTCAAGAACGCTGCGAATAGAAGGCATCTTTGTTCCTTTCTGTGCACAAGTCGGACAACAACTTTCAGAACGTCACCCCCTCCATGAAAGTCGTCACAGCCCGAGCTTTGAGCGTCTGCGGAAGGTGGTGACGACTTACAATACCCGAGCCCTGTCGTTTTGCGAGCCCTAAAAGATCTTCCAGACGCCTCTCTCGTTTGACAAGTCACGCAGGGAGGCGACGCTGATGCAAATCTTTCAATTCAATCAAGTTTGCAATCACATATCGCACCATAGCCCTTACCCTCTATTCACCGCTTTGAATTATAAATAGAAACCTAAGCTCAGCGAACAACGCGAAGACAGTGCTGGGACGGTCGGATTGTTTAGGTAGGGAGGTTTAGAGTAGTGCGTGTGCGAAGCGAACATTTGCCTTGGTTTTTCGACGGCATTGTGGACTTCTTGTTCACTGAGTTTCTTGCCACTGATTGATCCAGACGTTTCAATCACAGGCCCCAAGAATCTGCTCTTGATGCAGACTTCGAGTAAGCGAAGCTGGATCTTAGACCAAAAAGAAGATTGTTGTCTAGAATTCCCATCTTCTGGATCTACAGAATCACAGGGCCCAAGAAGCCCCTCCAGACGCGCTTGTTGTTCCACTTGGCGCATAAGTCGGGTGATGAGGCGAAGCTGATGCAGTTTCGCCAGGAACTGACAGATACTAACAATTCTTGACAGCAAGCGATGTTAGAAATAACCGCAATGATGTAGGATGTAAGGATGTAAGGATCCAAGTACTTTGCTTTGCAGGTCCGAAGAACCCTCTTCAAACGCGGCTTCTCTTTCACTTGGCACATAAGTCGGGCGATGAGGCGAAGCTGATGCAGTTCCACCAGCAACTGACGGACAGCCTGGAAGACCAGCTCAGTTTGGCCAGTGTGCATTATCTGCGGAGCCACTATCAAGAGGCGACGGACATCTACAAGAGACTTCTTCTAGAAAACAGGCAAGTCTCGTTCAGGGTGCCATCTGCCATCTGCCATCTGGTTCCGTTGCGCGTTCCTTTCGTGCTTTGTCGTTGAAGTCATTCGAAGGGGGCGTGCAAGTACAAGCTCATTTTGGTCAGCGCGCAATATCTACGGAGCCACTATCAAGGAAACGACGGACAAGTACAAGAGACTTCTTCTGGAGAACAGGCAAGTCTCCTCTGGAATTGTCCATTCTGCTCGTTCACATCTGGAACAGATTCGTGAGTCGGCAGTTGTACTATTCGTTGAAAGGGTTCGAGCAAGTTTCAGCCGAGTCCTGCCAGCGTGCACTATCTGCGGAGCCACTACCAAGACGCGACGGACATCTACAAGAGAATACTTTTAGAGAACAGGCAAGTCTCTCTTCATGGTTTCTTTGTTCTCCCGCTTCAGTCCCGGGATCGGAGTGTTGTCTTCTGAAAGGGCGCGAGCGGGTATCTGCTGAGTTTGCCAGCGTGCACTCTACGAAGCCACCATCAAGAGGCGAAGGACACCTACAAAGATTGCTCATTGAGAAAAGAGGCAAGTCTCCTCACGGATCGTGGAGGTCCATTTCGCTGATTCACTTCTGAGGTCCATTCTGCTGATTCACTCCTGAGAAGTGATCGTGGCTCGGCAAAGTATTATTCGTTGAAAGGGACGAGCACGTACTTGTTGAGTCTTGCCAGTGTGCACTATCTGGGGAGCCACTACCAAGAGGCGACCGACATCTACAAACGGCTATTGTTGGAGAACAGGCAAGTCTTTCTCCACGGATCATTCGCTCTTCTGTTTCAGTCCCGGGATCAGAGTATTATCTCCTGAAGCGGTGCGAGCAAGCATAAGCTAAATTTGCCAGCATGCACTCTCTTTGAAGCCACCATCAAGAGGCGACGGACATCTAATACAAGAGACTTCTTCCAAAGTACAGGCAAGAGTCTCCTTCAGTTCTTCATTCTCTGATCCAGCTTTTCTGGCGTTCGAGGTGGTGGTTCGTCATTGAGGTTTCACGCAAAGGGTGCAGCATTGCTAGCTCAGTTTAACTAGCATGCACTGACATTGGAGAGTTACCAAGAAGCTGCGGAAAGCTACACACGGCTGTTGTTGGAGAACAGGCGATGGTCGTCTCTTGGCCTCTCCTTGACTATTTCGTATAGTCCTCTTTCGTTTGACGTTTTCGAAGCGAAGATTCCGGTGGAAACTACGCTAGCCTCCTCTTCTTCTTTGTGCCCTTCTCGACTGCTACGTGGACATTGCGAAAGGGCCAGCACAATCTCGCCAAAGTGCATCATCTGAAATGCCATTAGGAGAGGGCGATGCGACTGGACAATGACACCTGCTTGATATTGCAATACGCTTTTATTTAGTAGATTTGTTGGTCTATGTTTCATGTTCGGTCGCCGAAATCGTAAGCGCTGGCCAAGCGCGAGCCTCTACAGCGCACACTATCGATGCAACCCCTGAAAGGACCCAGGATTAAACAGCAACGGAAAGGTGTCTGAGAGAATTACTGCATTTGCAGCAAAGCTTGAGTCCCCTAATCTAACTAGAGAAGATATTTGTGAGCTACGGGTTCCTTGTGGCCTTGACCTACATCCCCCCTGTGTCATGACAAATGCGCTCGGCGTTATGAATCCCCAGTACTTTGGAAGGTTCCAACAGCCCCATAAGAATCTCGAGGCCTGAAGTTTATCTGTCGTGTCCTTCATTGAACAACATACATGACGTCAGCCTGGAGATCCCCCCAGCCATTTCACCGTATCGCGTCGTCAAAGACGTTGAACAAGTTTTCTGTACAGGTATATCAGTGCCACTTTTATTTTGCCACAGGGACTTTCTGGCGCTCAATGTGTACGTGGCCCTCTGCTACTGCAAGCTCGACTATGACGTCAGCCTGGAGATCGTTCTGGCATTTCAGCATGACGAGTCTACAAACGCTTTTGATCTATATCATTAATCTCGGCTTCTGTATCTAAGTCAAAGAGCACGCTTTTGACTTGATACAGGGACTTTCTGGCGCTCAATGTCTACGTGGCCCCTCTGCTACTGCAAGCTCGACTATGACGTCAGCCTGCAAATCGTTTAGGCACTTCAGCATGACGTCTGCAAAAACACCTTACTGCAAAAATGACGTTAGCTATTGTTTACCAAAGTCAATAGCGCGCTTTGATTTGCCACAGGGACTTTCTGGCGCTGAATGTCTACGTGGCCCTCTGCTACTGCAAGCTCGACTACTATGACGTCAGCCTGGAGATTCTCCAGGCGTATCTACAAGCCAACCCTCAGAGCGCGCTCGCGGTCAACCTGAAGGCGTGCAACCACTTCCGCTTGTACAACGGAAAGGCAGCGGAAGCAGAACTGAAGCAGCTGCCGGAAGCAAGCCTCGCGGAAAACGACCTGGTCAAGCATAACCTGGTCGTGTTCAGGAACGGGGAAAACGCGATGCAGGTATAAGTCTCTATGTTCTTCCTTCTGAAACTACCTTCACTGGTAGTTCCGGACATCTGCTGAGCTTGCCGGTCCAGAGAACCCTCTTGCGAAGTTTCCTAGCAGAACAGCCTTGTTAAGACATCGCGACGCTATAGGAATAGGAAGATTCAAGAAAGGTAAGCCCAAACCAAACATTAACCTACAAAACTCACCGGCTCCTCACCCGTACCCACCCTAAAGCCCCCAAAGTAACCCTACCCGTCCCAGGCTGGTAGATTCGAATTCCTAAAGCTTACTATTCATGCAATGTAATTGCTTCTGCTTAGGCGGGTCCAGTATGGAACACGGGGCGCTGTAGATCATGAGAATACATCCGCGCAAAGAGCCGGCCGTCGTTTTCGTCTCAAGGTCAGTCTGACCATGCTGGACTCATATCAAGAAGCGCGCCTCTACTTGCATACTCTCAACGTACGCACCCGCGAGATATCATGGTAGTTCCAATCTTACAAAAGAAGCTTCTCAGAATTTAGTCTTACACAACCGACCGGAAAGGCAAAGAAACCGTCACGATTCTCCTTTCTAGGTCCTTCTGACGATGCTCGACCGGCCGCAAGAAGCGCGCCTTCCTTTAAGTCATCTTCTAACCAGATTTCTGAGCCTCCAACGCCCATCCGCCCGAATTTTCGTCAACAAAAGTTCAAAAGCTGCAATTAAATCTACCGTCCCCCCCGGCCAGGTTCTTCCGACCATGCTCGATATGCCGCAAGAAGCCCGCCTCAACCGAGTTGTTTAGTACCTGTGCAACCTCGAAATCGCAGACGCCCTCTTCCCAAGACACAAGCTTTCCTCGAACCAGTCTCTAGAAAGACCAGAAACGCAAAGAAAACGGCCGTCTTTCCTTTGCACAGGTCCTTCTAACCATTTTCGACATGCCACAAG